AAAAAAAAATGAAGAGAAAAAAGGCACAATCGAATAACATTGATAATTAATGCAATATTGGTTTATGAATTTATGAATATCAAGCAATGCCAGACCCGTTAACTAAGTTAACCCAACCATTTACACAAACTTACCTAGACATAATGAAATTTATATTGCGCCTATGTGCCTACATAAAAAGTAATAAGTTAAACTAACACGATAAAAAAAACAACAACATATTTACAAAACGAAATCCAAATTTTTTTTTTTTTATATATAATAAAAAATCTATTTAAAACATCATCTATTGATATATTAATAGAATAGTATGGTGTGTGTTTAGCGAATTTATATAAGTCAAACATTCCTGTCCGTTTTAGATCCAGCTTAGGATAAAGCTAACTGGTTCATTAAATTAGACATATACCGAGAGTTGAAACACAAATAATGATAAATATGAAAGTAATACTCAAAAATAAACGACTAGATAATTATTATGTTATAACATTATAAAACATAAGAACAAAACAACATACAAAAAGTGATATTATGTGCTATACAATTTTAAAATATGCCTGTTCTAATCTATAATCAATGTCTATAATATGTCTGCAAACAGGTAATAAAATATTTAAAAGCAAAGTTTGCATCAAATCACATTTACCTATCAATTCATGAAAATTCAAGTATTTTTCTTTATCAAGAGCTAATATTTATACCTAACATATTGTAAACATTTACAAACATGTAAATGACCAAAGGACGTCATAGATATGTAGGAAATTGGCTATCTAATATTATATTATAATACAACAACATATTATTACTTATATTTTAATAAAAGTGTCCATAGGAAGCACTAACATGAGCTTACAACCAAATATAATAAATTATATGTAAACAAATACTGAATTACAATAGGTAGTTATTGTAAATGTTGAAAGGAGGTACAACTATTACCTACCCCGGTATTTTCAAAGAAAAAGGACTGTCTTGGAAAGATTAAAAGCACAAATATTAGAAATAACGGCACAAAAGCTCTTGGTTTCGTATTAAAATTTAACTCTAAACAAATTTACCTTAATTGCGCCCATGAATCTATTTCTTTTTTATAGACTCCTTTTTGAGTTTATTTTGTAGAAAAAATTTAAAATAATAAAATCGTTGTGCTGTAATTTGAAAAAATTGTTTTTCGTCTTTTTTGATTTTTCCCAATTATCATGAAAACTACTATAGATATCAAACAACTTTTTTATCAGTGTCTGTATGTTAAAAGGAATAAAGTCGATCTTTTGATATTTTTCGATTGGAGCAATATTTCTAGTAAATAGCATAGGTTAAAAAAAATCGGTAAAGCCACAGTGAGCCATAAATATTTTCTATTTTACCTTTAATTTTTCCCATTTGTTTTAAAAACAACTTGAAAAATCAAAAAATGATCTTCTAAATGTATGAACTAAACAAAATTACCTTTTAAAAAAGATGTTGCACTCTATACTTTATAGCAAGATTTTTAGTAGCAAAATTGTTCACAGCTTCAGGAACAAGAAATAAAAAATATAAACACAAATCCAATAGATCCCTCATTATTACAATCTAAAATATAAAAGCATCAAGTTATGAGCCTAAATAAATAAGTAGAAAAATTTAGGAATTTTACTAAAATTGTAAGCAATCCATTGAGATGTAATTTTATTCATAGGCACCTATCAGTTTTATTTCCAACAAAGATAAAAAAAAAAATTAAAATTAATACAAATAATTGAATATTTAATAGTTTTAATTTTGGTACATTTATTACACAAATATCAATATGTATAATATTAAATATAGATTGGCACAGATAGCAGTAGGTAAAATAAATAATTTTGTAACAATATATTGGAAAAAAAAAAAATAATTTCTCAAATTTATTTTTATTAAAATAATTTAAGTATTTAACATTATTCTTTAATTAACATTGTCTCTTTAATAATAAATATACATAATATTGGGATTAAGTAAACTATTGTTACAATAGCCTTGTTAGTTTTAATAAAAAGTGTACACTTTTTGCATAGATTTTACACTAGTGTGTACACATTTGATGGTAGAGTAGTGTTTCTTATGTAACTTTTTTTTCTTTTAAACAAATATAGCTAATGAAAAAAAAAAAACTAAAACATTCCTTTCATATAACTGTACAATTATACTACAAGTAGGTACATAGTGTATTGGTACTTACAAATATTTAATTATCAACTTGGTGCTAATTTGTTTACAATGACCTGATGAAAATTATAGGGGTACATTGCTAATATAACAAAACTGGGCAAATCACTTAATTTTGTTTGTTTATTAATTTAGTAATTAGGTAGGTAGATAGTTAAACTACAACTTTCTTGGAGGAAAAAGTATTTTTGTTTATTTAGTAGTCTACATGGTTAAGTTACTTTTTTTCATGTTTTTTAATTTTATAAATTATGTTTCAATAATTAATTATAGTTACCACCTACTTATTATTTAGAAAAAATATTAAACCTTTAAGTTACTAATAAAAAAAAGTAACTTAAGTTATTGTTACAAAATACATACTTATTTGTGTAACTAATTACTGCCGTTTTGCTACACAACATACCATAAAGTAATGGTTATACATAATGATTACATAATCTGACTGGTATGTAATTTATTGTGACAAAAATAATACAAAACTACATAGTACAAGTGTTTCAAAATTGTAAGGGATAAAAAATTCCTCTTAAATAACGAATTTAGCTGATTTTAGAGTGATAGTTATACTTTTATTGTTAAATAAAAGTATATTTGCTTTCGATTTTAAGATGGTTGGAGACAGAATGAAAGTAGTAGCGCAGAATATAAGCATACTCATAGAAGGGGCAAAATCTTTTGGTTTAAAAATTAACCAAGATAAAACAAAATTAATGGAACTACTCCCCAATAGGGAGGATAAGGATAATGTGGTAATCAATTATTATGTTTTGAGAAAGTTCAAGTACCTAGGACTATTACTAACAACAATGACTGGAGTCTTGAAGTCATGAGTTCTATACACAAGGCAGAGAGGACATATTCCATGCTGCATACATTTTTAAATCAAAACTGTTTTCTAAAGAACCGAGATCAGACATGATCATAATAAGACCAACAGTAACTTATGGATGTGAAATATGGCCCACTACTATACAAATGGAAAAAAAACTCTTAGTTTTTGAAAATAAAATACTAAAGGATATTTGTGGTCCAGTGTTTGATATCAAATTAAACTTATAGCGTAGAAGGAAAAATATTTTACTAAGAGAAATCACATAAGTTCCATCTGTTACAAGTTATATTAGGTACCAACAAATCCAGTAGTATGGTCATGCTATGCGTAAAGCAGGAATAATGCAGCAATTAAATGGCAACTAACGGATAAAAGGCCTAGAGGAAGGACTATAAAACAGTGGATGGATGGAATAATAAAGGATTTAAAAATACTGTGACAAATTTAGAAGATGAAAGTTCAGGATTGTGATGATTGGAGAACGGTGATGGTGGTGGCCAAAATTTTTACAGAATTGTTAAGCCAAAAGAAGAAGAAGACAAAGTATACTAATTTGACATCTTTCAAATAGAAGACTTTTGATTGCAGTACATACACACTTCAGTGGCATAATTTCAATTGCTTGACTACTCAACTACAAATGATAACTGAAACGGATTGGTTATTTTTTTTCTATTTTTTTGCTTACTGTACCTAATAGGATAGCATAGTTTTTATTTTCTACCCCTTAAAATAAATCTAAAAGAGGGATTGAGAAAATGTATTATAAAACATATTGAACTCAGCAATCACACAAAAAGGTTAAGATTATTTTTTTTAGAACGCCACAGGTTTATCTGGAATAGTGTAAACATGGTAGGTAATCAACTTTTAGGACATATGTAAAAAATATAAAGAATACACACTCAGATGGTTAACATCTACTTTTTTTTAAATATATTATTATGCAATGTATAATAGACAATAACATTATTAAACTATTTCAAAAGTTAGAGTAGCTGTATCTATTCCCCATATACATATTATAATAACATATTATACATAATATGTTATTTACATGTCTATGGTATGTCCAATTAAAATATGTATATACTTTTTCAATATAATCAAGCTGAACAATTTTAACAATTTTAGATAGTTCTAGATTTTAAATATAATGTTCAAAAATATAACCAATAATTGTTTGAATTTTCAAATATATTTGACACTAATAGGATACTACTACTTCAAAACTTCTCTTACTTATTCAATATTAGTTTAACACTAAGAAATATATATAAATAGTTTTTTTTATGATAAATTTATATTATTATATTAATTAACAATTATTATTATTATTGTTATTATTTTTTTTTTTTATTATTATTATTATTATTATTATTACAGTAGAACTTGAATAATTTGAACTAAAAATAAATATCAATTATATAATAATTAATAATTTCTAAAAATGAAATTACATTGCATATAATAGAATAAAATATATCAAGAATGTTCTAGAAGTCGAAAGGAAAAAAATTAAGTTATCGAGTTAGCTAAAGTTCTACTGTAAATGAATAACTTTAATATATAATATAATTTTTAAATAAACTACATCTAAAATACAATAATAATTATTACTATAAATTACTAACAAATACACACAAATCGCATGAACCTAATTTTGTTTTATATTAATATTTAAATATATCCAATAGTGCTTATTAATTATTATTGGGATACTTAAAATATATAATGAACAATATTGTTATGCAAATTAATTTAGTAATGTGCTTACACAATTTAAAATCAAATACATTAATAACATTAAAAAAAAGGATTAAAAAAAAAAAAAAACATTCACTAAGTATAATAATAAAAATGTATACCAAGATATAATAATATGTGTATGATTAATAATTCACCAAATGAACCCAACTTATTGAGTTATTTTTTAACAAAAAATAATAATATAACATAATTATATTTTAATATGAATAACTTTAAATGCATTTATCAACCAACATCCCATAAAATAATGCAACTATCATTAAAAACTATTCTACTTTTATAATGCAAAATATCATTAAAATGATTATATTTTGGTATATATTATAAAATATATTTATATTTTCAATAAACTTAATTTAATTTATTTATACTTAAAAAAAAAAAAAATTAATAATGATATTTTGTATATTTTACTATAATGTGTAACATAATATCATTATAAGTGTATATAAATTCATTTCAAAAACAAACGAAAAAAAATAATATATATAAAATATATTATAGAGTAGTAGAGTAATTGTCAAATATATAATACAAAAATTAGCAATCAAGGAAAAAATAATATTAAACTAAAACTAGAAAAATTGTATTTTCAAAAACTGATAAAAGGAACACAATAATTCAAATAAAAATACAGAAAGACGATAATATTTAAAATTATTATTCTATAAATTTGTTAACATTTAAAAAATGTATGTCAAAATCTGTTCATGTTAAATGTAAATGTATATACACTTATATTACAATGTGCATTTTTAATGCATTTAAAAGCTAATTAATAGGATTTAATAGCTATCCTAAAAAACAATATTGTTTATTAATCAGTTCTTGATTATATAAAATAATAAATGGAATTTAAAATGTTTGATCCATAAAACATTTATCATAAGAATAATTCTATTTTAATTATTGAAAAATCCACAGTTATCCATTAACAAATGTGAAGAATATTTAATTGACAAGATATTTTAAGTAAAATGTTTAATTAGAAAAACAATAAATAATTTCCATTTAATTGGAATAACAAGTTCCTGTGAACTGATTGCAATGAAACTAATTTTATAGGCTTACAAAATATATTGCATTCTAATAATAAGAACAAAATATTGATAATTATATACTATACAAAATTAGTGTAAAGATTTATAATTTTTAAAATATTTTAAGAATAAAATGTTTTTTCACGCAATATTCATTAAAATTTATATTACTTTTTATACGTAATTTTATTTGTATATGTTTATTTACATAGTGAATATGGAAGCATACCCATTTATCACAATTAATTTAACAGTTATTCAAACTTTTAAAGCTATTAATTCAATTATAAGTAATATTAGATAAGCACATAAATAAACTTTGGGAATGTTATTAACAAAGTAATCCATTGATCACAGTATAAATTAATTTAAAACCAAATTAAAACAAAAATAAAGTTGGCAGTGTAGTAACAAAGGAAAAATGTATATTTATAAAATAAGTTCTTTAAGTTGTCTAATTTTATGAGAAAATATTAATTACAGCTTTTAAAATTTTCAAAATTAAAAATGTATAGTTTTATAAGGTTACTCCAAATTATTAATTTTAATATAATTTGAAAGAAAGAAGATATACAATTTTAGATATTGGACACTGTAATATTTTTTATACTAACTCATGTATATATTGATCGATAAATCCAGAGATCATAATTAAATATACTTAAAGACACCAAGACATGATCAATAAAAAAAGACCTATAATTTAAATGTGAATAATTAAAATAATTTACAATTAAAAACATAAATTAAAATGCATAGAAAAAAAATTGTCAAACAAATATTTACAGTGATAAAATTCAAAGCACGAAAATACATACAATAATAAGAATACTGTTTAAATTACTTTAAAATAGATATTCTTTTATATACATTGAAAATATGTTCTAAAAAGAATAGAATCCATTATTGAATACTGAAATCAAAGATTATAAATCTTATTTTTGATTTCGTTTTCAATTAAATTCTCCAATAATCATAAATTTAGATTTAACCTTAACTCTTTTTTCACGTAAAATAATATATATGCTTGCACATTTTCAACCAAAGATGCATCAACTTCATGCACTTTTTCATCATTATATTCATACCATTGGCCTAATCAAGAAAAAATTGATTTAATATGTCAAAATTGTTTTAAATTAAAAAAAAAACAACTCAAATTACCTTCTTTATCATCTAAAGCATATGAAGTATAATGGCCAGATCCACCACTGAAAATGCAATTTATTAATTATTAATCAAAAAGTCATTAATGGTATAATATATCTAAATAATAAGTAGAGTTAAATTTACCCTTCCCCATCATGTACAACAACAGCTACCAAATCAAACAAATATGACGCCTCTTTAGTCAAATTGTTCTTCATGTCACTATCCAAATACTGAGACATATCTAATGAATGCATAGGGAATTTAATATGTGTGTGAACTTTGGTGCGATAAGTTGAATCCCATCTGAACCGTTTCAGATGTAGACAAAGTACCTAAATAAAATAAACAATAAAAAAGCTGTCCTAGAATAATGGGAACGAATACATCCACTGTTATGGGTGAGAAGTTGGGAAAGTAGTAGAGGAGAAATTGAATGTATATCTGTAAGCAATGACCAACCATTGCTAACAAAAAAGGATTCTGAGCGTAGTATGGTTCCTTTGTCAACAATGTATGTGTCATATTATGGTAAAATAATTATACATTTTCTTTAATAATATTATATCTATTTTCCTGTTTTCTCATATATTTTCTATTTATTAGAAAATTGAAAAATGAGTACCAAATAAGGTACCACACCAAGTAGGATTTCATTTCAGAAAAAATGCTATAATTGTAAATTGGAGCAAAATCGCTGGTAGAAAAGTTGTCCACAAGAAAAATAAATAAACATCATTGTGAAACCAATACATTCTCGCTCCAATCAGAATCTAAAATTTAAAAACACAAATGCTACGTAACCACATTTAAAAACTTACATTAGGCAAACGGTTAATCCAAAATCTCTTAGTGGACTTTTGTTGGCTCTCACATTTGCTACAGAAATAAAAATTTTTTTCGTTTAACTCTTCTACTTCAATGTATCTTGCTAAACAATCTAAGGAAAGACATTTGTTAAACATTAATAATAGTATGTAATTATTAATAGTAATAAACATCCTCGTTAACATAAGAAATTTAATTTGTTTTAAACTTACCTGTTAAAAGGTCTTCTTGTGGAGGATCCAATTCATTTTCAATAGGCTTAAAATCCGGAACATGTAATGAAATATCTGAAAATGGATCTTTTGTCCTAGAAGGAGTCTTACAATTTAAACAGAACACCTAAATCAAAACAAATATTTTAAAAATATAATTGTCCAAATTGTATTATAAAAAAATAATAATAGATTCTTACAAAAACCAAACAATAATAATTGCAACAAAAAAACTTAAAAGAGCAATTAAATATTGAATAGACAAAAAAATCTCTCAATGTAATAAGGCAATATTCACTGTATGTATGTTCAAATTACATAATTACCTCACTCAATAAGTATCCGCGAAACATAACAGATACAAGTGTATCAATTTGATTAGGATCAACATGTACTATTCCCTTTTCTAATAATAATCTTGTTTTTTCATCTCTTAGTTCCGAATGTAAAGTGTCCAATGTAAACATCAAAAATTCATGTGCGTCATGTTGATGAAATCCTCTAAAAAATTATTAAAATTTTAATACACCTAAATGTATAATATTATTTGTTAATAAATAAATTTAAAAAATTAATTATTTAATGTATACAAAGATTTAATTTTTATCTTATGTTTTAGGTTTTTTTTCCGTTTTAGATTCTAAGCAAAGTGAGGAATGTATTGGTTTTATTATATGTAAAAACTTTACTACCAGAAATCTTGTTTAAATCAAAAACTTTAAATGACTTTATTGTAGCAAATTAGCAAGTTGGTGAGTTAAGGACATTTTATGATTTTCAATGTAATTATTTCAAAATTAGAAAATCTATAAATATATGGTACAATTTTTGTTAATTTCTGGTCATACACATTGGCAATAAGACATAAAAATACAACTAATAATGCTCGGTTCAGAATCGGTTTTTATTAATAATAGTTTTATTTTTGTGTACATATATCTTGCTCTATAATATATCCTGACTTTTAATTTTCCTTCTAAATTAGTGGCATACCAATCAGCAGTATCAGACTTTTTAATAACTTAAAATAAATAAAATCTAATAAAAATTATTTATTGATTCAGTAATCCCAGGTTAAAATTAAGACCAATATGTTCCACGATTCCCAAAATACCAAAAATTCCCACAAATACAACTAACCTATTTTTATATATTACTATTGGAAATATTAATTTATCAAAAACATCTATATTTTAAAACATTTGATACTAAAAGTAGAAACTAGCATTTAAAAATTTGTGTTTTTAATTTATAAATATGTAATGTAGAGTACTTAGATATAATACTGTGGATGTCACTCAAAATAATACTAATAATTTACTGTCAAAAAATTACAAAAAAATAACCCACAAGAATTTTAAATATTTAATCCTACCCAAAAGCATAGCTTGTGGTGGGTGCAGCAGTTCAATAAACATTTTAATTAACTTTAAAAATTGGTGATCTATTCAATAGAATACATCTATATATGTAGGTATATATATGATGAATAATATATACAATATATTTTAAATGACTTACTTGTAGCGAGGTTTAATTTTGCAAACAATCGTGTGAAGAGCAACTGGTGAAATTGCATCTCTGTATTTATAGCCAGGAGGTTTTTGCCAATCAACCAAACTAATCAATAGTTTCAATAATTCTTCAGCTATAATAAACCTTTGTTGTTTCTTTGGATCTTCATTATATTTCTGCAGATCACTGGCTTTAAATAGTTTCAAACAGTAAATAAATGGTTTGAGGTGTCTGAAATTTGAGAATCAATTGAATTAAATAATATATTATGAATACGTGAAAGGTAAGTAGTAAAATTAAATCTATTATTATAATAAATTATAATATAAATATAAAGTTATATATAATGTTATTGGTACAAGTTCCATATAACCCATAATATTAAATAGTTGTAACCAAAATACAAGAGCATTAATATTTAACTATAAACCAAAAGTTTACACATTTAAACAACATTATCTTAAACTCTTATAACACATTCGATACAAAAAAAATATCTGAATTTCATAAACTTATAACACAGATTATTTTAGTATAATAACAAATCTAAAACTAATACAACGTTTATACAAATAATAAATATGTTGATTAGGTTAAAACTATTTTAGATCATGTTTTTAGATTGTATGTAATTCGGCTTAGAATGAAAATGGTTAATGGTTATTTTAAATAAATATAAAATGATTTATAATTGTATTATAGGTTAAAGCAAATTTAAGACAAAAATAAAACCAATTTTAACCATACTATTAATTATTATCAGTTTTTTAAACAAAATTAATTTAAGTTATAGAAATATCAGAACAAAAAATATGTTATATTTGAAAATTAGTTTTAATAGAATAATTTGTGCTAAATATAATTAAATATTACTAAGTATTGAAAAGTTTGATTAATAAATCAATAGAAAAATTTCACTTTTAGAAAATATAAAAAAACAAAAATGTTAAAACCTTATTATACAATTAAATTAAAAATAAAATAAATTTCTAAATTATATAGGCAACGTGGAGACTGGAGAGTTGTGAGACTGGAGGTATGATTTTAGTTTAAATCGAACCTAATTCATTTAAATTAAAAATTTATTTAATAATGATGACTAGTCTATTGAAAAAAATTTGGCTGATCACCAATTGCTTATAAAATATACAACAATAAGTTCTTCAAAAAAGAAAAGTAATCCATTAATGAACGATAAAAAAAATTCTGGAAAGAGAAACTTATTATAATTCCCTTATCAAAGGTTTCAAAATAAAATATAACTAAGTTCAGTCTGTGTCTGAAATTAAAATGAATTTAGTTTAATTACTGTAGTAAAACTTTACGTTTTTTTTTTTTTTTGAAATACACCTACAAACAAAAATAAAATATTTTTCTTACAAACTTTTAGTTTTAAACACTGCAATAAACTGAACATTCACTCTCTAGTAATAATTACTTTTAACATATAAAATTACTTAGTGATCTATCCAATTTTAGTTTATGGTATTTTTTTAGAGTTCCAACACGCCTATTAGAATATATCATAACAATAATGAACTTTATTTAACAAACACAAAAGGAATTATAAAACTGTTAATACAGATACTATTTATGGTTTATTTCAGCAATCAACCATCACACTTAATGATCAACTCTGATTAACACACATTATTGACATTATTTTGTTTCAAACTTCAATATATTTTTGAGTCAGCATATACAGTTTGTTCCAACTATTTTTAAACTTTTACATTTAAAGATAATATTTACCGTAATGCTTGCCACACAGCATTCATAAAACAATTGTTACCACTATTTGTAATGCCAATCTTTTTATTGGTACGAGGTCCTCTTTTAAAAAAAAACTTTTTAGGTTTAGCTGTTTTTAATGATTTTTTTTGTGGTCTTTTCTTTCCTTTGTCTTCATTGCTAAATATATAAAAAAAACATTGCATTTTAATATACAAATTGTTTTATATATTATAATAATACTATATTATACATCTATATATTCATACATGGACATCCATTAGGGGAGGGAGGATAATAGGTAACATTTCCCTTATATTAACTGTACTTATGGAACAATTTTTATTTTTAAATTAATAAATTCAGTATATTATTAACATTACATTATAATACCTAATTTGGCCAGTCTGAATTTTATTTGATGAATGTCCTTGTATACCCTGACCAGCTAAGATAGTGAAAATGATCAAATTATGTATGAATAAAACCAGATGTAAAGTTAGATTTAATCAACATATATCAGATGAATTTGAAGTTAAGACTGGACTTCGACAAGGAGATTCCCTACCCCCAATACTCTTTAATATAGCATTAGAAATGGTAGTTAGAAAAACTCAAAAAAAATATGGTGGGGTAAACTTGGAAGAGAACAGAAGACAATGCGGAGTACTAGCGTACGCAGATGATATTATCATATTGGGATCAGACAGTCAAGAAGTCAAAACAGGAACCAAAGAACTAATAATAAACAGCAGACATTGGATTACAAATAAACGAAGGAAAAACCAAATATATGGTAATATCTAGGCGAGAAAATCACGAGGAAAATTTAGAAGTTGAGAATTATAAATTTGAAAGAGTGCAAAATTTTAAATACCTGGGTGTTACAATAAATAGCAAAAATAATAATCACGATGAAATTAAAATAAGACTAACTGCAGCAAATAAATGCTATTACAGAGTAACGAGTATACTAAAATCAAAACAGGTATCACTCAAATCAAAAATTACAATATACAAGGTAATTATCAGACCAGTCCTTTTATATACGTGTGAAACATGGCCAACGACTAAAGGAGACGAAGACAAATTAGCAATACTAGAAAAAAAAATATTAAGAAGAATATTTGGGCCAAAAATAAATAACATGACACGAAAATATGAGAAAAGAAATAATATAGAAATACAACAATTATATAAAGAGCCAGACATAGTAGCAGTATTAAAAAATAGGAGAATGGCATGGGAGGTCAAATGGTCTTATGAAAGAGGTTTTAAAATGGAAACCCCAGGGAAAAAGACCACTTGGCAGGCCGAAACAAAGGTGGATTGACAAGGTAGAGAAGAATTTAGCAGAGATTGAAATACGAGATGGAGAAACAATAGCACAGGACAGAGACAGATGGAAGCAAGTTTGTGTTGCGGTAATGGGCCTCAATGACCTTTAAAAAACCGATGAAGAAGAAGAATGAAGAAGAATGTCCCTGTATATAGGGTGATTTTTATATATACCAGCAATTTTCTTGAAAGATTTTAAGTAAATTTTATTTCTATTTTTTTTAACAAAGCGGTATCTTAAAAATATTTTTTTTTACCCCTATTCTGTATGCCTTAAATAAGAATGTACTTCTGATTTTAAAGAAATGTTGTTATGCATAACACTAATATCAAGTTTACCAAATATAAATTATAAGTTTAAAACAGAAAAAAATATTATTTAAAATAAAAAACATTCTCTATTTGAATCTTTGGTTAAAAGAACAAGTTGCTATCTAAAAATATAAAATGGATACACATTTCAGGTATAAGGAGTAGAGGTAACAAATTGAACAGTGTTAAAATAAAGCTTAAACAATTCCATAATGATTAAAAAATAAAACCAGAAATCAAATTCATTTAAAATTGCTGGTCCAACAATAAAATAATCAACTTGAATATCAGTATAAATTTAGTTTGAATATTTATTCAATAATCTTTAAAATAATGATTGTTAAATGAAAAAATACAAAAGTAGATTCTTTGTTTGAATAAAATAAAAATAAGACATCTTTATTTCTATTATAAATATGAATACGGTAATCCTAAAATTTTGAAAACTATTACTTATGCACTGGGAAGGTATGTTATTAAAATTAAAATGGCAAAAAAAACAATATCCAATACAACAAATTTATGTTAATAAAGAAACTTTAACTGAGGGAAATTAAATCATGAAGAAGTTTCATTACCAATTAAAATATGACCTAGGAGCCAGACCAACTCATATTAGAAAATTGTCCAGAAAAGCTGCAAGCTGACCAGTTACCCAGAAACCTACCATGGATTATCTGGAAGATAATAAATATGCTAAAGGCAGAAGTAGCCAAACAAATGTAAACCTGATGAAATAAGGATAGTAAGATGGATCAGATACATGTGAATGAAAGTCAATTGGATGAACACCTACTGCAGTGTGCCTTGGCTCCACCAGAATGAACAATTGATGACTTAGCACTAATCAATGAAAATGTCATAACTCAAATAAAATATCTGATAAAATTAGTATCATGTAGGCCAAGCAATAAAGTACACAAAAAATACACAAATGACAATCCATTTTTTTTTACAAAACAATAATAATATACAACATTTTTGAACAAAATGTACAACATAATGTAAAACATCATAAAACATATATACAAGATATCCCACGAAGATAAAGATAATCAAATTATTATTATTTTTTATGTTACTCAATGGGATAAGGACTACAAATATTTATATTGCAATAAGTCATTATAATTTTTATGTTTTGGTAAAACATTTAAAAAAAAACGAAATTTATACTATTATTTTTGAAAAATTTGATGATAGCTATTTTATAGAGTTTAACTTCTAAAAATTGTTATCGTATCAACTTGGTATTTTCATTAAATTAGTGATTTTCAATAATATTTTAAAGTTTAGAATAGAGAAAAGTACCTTTAATTATGCAGCAGGATGTAATCATAATCTCTAATTGATTATTATTATTATGATTAATTGACTACATTTCCTTTTTCTGGACTTTAAAAAATGATTAAACATCAAATAAAAATAAAAAGTTAATAATATCAAAATTTTCAGAAAAATTAACTCTATAAAATATATATCTTCAAATTTTTCAAAGGTAATAAAATAGTTATTTTTTCAAAGCATAAAAATTAATTGAAAATAAATATTTATATTTTTTAATCCCTGTAATATAAAAAAAAAAAACAAAATACTATTATCTATTACTATTATCTTTACTATCTCCAGAGATATTACAATAGTATATCTTGGTGAAACACCCTGTAGTCATCATTAGAGGCGAGTGGCATTGGCCGATATCATGTATCACCCTGTACTAAGATTATCAGATATAGGGAATTTAGAAAATTAATATTTTTGGGGAAAAATATTCTATATCTCTGGAATATGAAATAAAGGTAAAAAATCAGATTTTCAACAGATATATCGATTAATTTTAATTTTAACTTATGGTTAATAATTATAAATATGGCATTGAATTTTGGAATTAGATCAAAATATTAAAAAGTCTTGTTAGCTCACCACTAATTATAACTATCTAAAATTTCAATAAATTTTAAAAATCAATATTTTCTTATAAATATTGGAAACTTTTTATTTTAAGTCTTTATAAAAACTGGAGGCCAAAAAAAAAAAAAAAATGCTCAAAAATTTGTAATGTATAATTTATAACCCACAATAAATTAATGGTTTAAAATTTAGGTAATTTCAAAATACCAACAATACAAGAAATAGAAGCAATACGTACAAATTTAAATTCAGAACTCTACTATTAAAATCCTTTTAATATTTAAATACACGAATTAGATCAAGTACAAAGTTTCATCTTTATTAATTATTTAAATTTTTTTTTTTTTACAAAATAATGAACTATAATTGAAATAAAACACTACAATAATTATATAAAATCAAATCATAATATTTAGGAAATTTGTTTAATTTAAAAAATTATTTACTTAATATTGTACACTTTAAACGTAATGATTATATTAATATAGGCAATATTTACCCAAGTTCTTGCTGAATCGCAGTGGCAACACTTTTGTCTGTTATAGCAATATTGACTTTTTTATTACTCCTACGTCGTTTAAAGGAAGTCCTTTTTGATCTTGAAGGTTTTTTAGCTGTTGGTCTACAAAATAAATACATAAAATCTTAAATATAATTTTGTGTACATGTTACAAACTAAGAAAATCGGTTATTATAAGAAATGCCTGGAGGTAAAGAGACAAAAACAAAATGGTCCTAAATTTTCTTATACATTTTGAACAGTTTTAGGGCAACATATACATTGTCAATTTATTTCTGGCCAAAGTACAAGTTACAACAGTAGACATAGCTATGAACTAAGTTATAAGTATAAATTTCACCAATATATATCCTTGAATGAATTTCTAAGTTTTTACAGTCTGGTAAATCTATTTTGAGTGGCCATTAATTTAATAATAATTATTAAGATAAATTAAAATAATAATAATCGATACCAATACTATATTTGTGTATAGTAACACGAGTACTACTAAAAGCAGATTACTTTTGCTAATGTTCAAAAACAGTGAACCATTACCAATATTTACTTTTTCCTGCCTACTAGTATAATGTAATGAATAGGTAAGAACATTAATAACTATGAGAAAAGCATGTACCTACGCACATAAAGAAAAATAATACATTTAAAGAATTAAACCAGCAGTTTATTCAGTTGTGTCTATCTTTTTGGTTAAATGTCATATTGATCTATAAAATTAGGGGTACCTTTTGCTTTTAAATAGGTATCAGGCAGCAGATTATTGGCATTCTAATCATTAAGGTGGTAATTAAATGTAAAACATGTTATTAAAATTGTACAAAATTAGAAAAAGTTTGGAAAACAATCTAATCCTCATAAATGGAAAAAAAAATTGATAGTACCTTATGGAACTACGAAAGCATACTGTATCTAGATGAGTTGGTAATTTGATAATTAAATTTATTTTATACATTTATAATTATTCCTAAATGTCAGAAATATAGATTTTTACACTGTAAAAGGGCTGTATAAATAAATAAAAATATTTTCATACATAGTGGACACTGTTTAGATGTTTCTAATAATGACGAATTTTCTTCTTAATCCATAACATATAAAAGTATACATGATAATTGATGGAAAAAATAATAATTAGGTAATATGTACGATTAGTGCCTATGCTCTCCTCATCAGTAAAATTGGATCATTTGGATCTAAACAACTTAATAACTCCATTAAGCACATTTTTTTTTTTTTTTAGAATGTGATGTACAGAAACTTCTATAATAACTGTCACTAATCACTCATTCACACTTTGATAGAATAATTGTGATTGTGAGGATTCACATACAGTATTTTTGTTTAATATTGATAATAATTTAAAAAACAAGAAAATTCAGGAGAAGTAATTTTTCTCAAAATTATTATGATACTCACAAAAGATATTATTGCTCAGGAAGGTCTATAAGTCTATGATTTTATACAAAAATGTATCATTTCCATAAACAGTATATTGAGAATTTGTAATAAAAGTAAATATCTGTTAATTATCAATAGTATCTTAATTTACTACAAAAGTATCTACTTGATAATGTTACATAATATACAGGAAAATTACCTATTCAAAATAAAAACTAATAATTTAATTGTAAAAAAATGTATTGTATTTATCAAATGAGATAATATTTATTCACTTGGAATCGGGTTATTTTCAATATCTTAATTTACTTACAACATATATTAATAATACATAAAGAATAATTACCTGCTTATTTTATTATAATTTGGAATTGGTCCACGATTATACAAGATGAATTGTCTAAGGCGATTCAATTCATCGTCATGAATTTTTGGTTCAACTTCTGTTCCACATTTAAAACTTCAAAAATAACAAAAAAATAATAATATTGTACAATATAAGCCATTTTTAGAATAATTAAAAATAAATGTAACTTAAAAGATTCCCGTTGATAATATTTCAAGACAGTACAATTATTTTCTTAGAAATACATCTGTAAACCAGGAAATAGAAAAATATTTTTATTTTTTTTTCAACTAACCAGAAAATTGCAGCAGACTCGATGTTTATGAATATACAGTGAGTATTATGATAATCATAGTGTGCAGTACTATGGCCCATCACATTTTTACCACAGAGGATTTGCTTACACACCACACAAATCCATAGGTGATCCACACGTACGCAAACTAAAAAAAAAATATATAAAAATTTAAAAATTAGAACAATCATACATTGTACCCATCATCTAAATATTAAAATATCACTTTACTTAATAACTAAAATTTGTTTTGAGAAAAAGATACCTACTAAATAATTATATAATAGTTATTTATATTTTACCCAAAATATTGTCCTATCTAATGCGAATAATAAATATTAGAACACTTCTTTATTAAAACTTTAAATAATTATTTGAAACATATATATATCTGCATTTTGTTTTATTATTTACCTATATAATTTAAATTTTTTAATAAACACAAATTATAGTTTACAATAAGGTTTCCTATTAGGCAAATATACATTTATATTTTATATAATATGAACATTCACTATCAAAATCGCATACTCATGTCACTAGAAAAAAAAATATAGATTAATAAATCAAGTTCTGTAATACACCAATTAAATGAAATATCACTTTAAACCTTACAAAGTAGATATTTAAAATAATTTAGAATGATTTTATTTTCAATAAAATGGTGGTGATCATAGGTTCAGTTAAACTATAAATTTGTATTCATCTTTTATAATGCTTGAATTCAGGTTCTCCACCTCAATTAAATCTCTACTGTTATTCCCTGGTTACTTAACCTACACGTGCTTGATTATGGTTCTATTATTTGGGACCACCTATAGTTGTGCTGACAACCTTATGATCAGGTGTGTCTAAAGAAAGTTTTTCTAATATTTTTAGTTTAACATCAAATATCTCCTACCCTTCCAATGATTATGTATCTGGATTATCCAGTCTTTCAAATTAACATTACCTGGTTAATACCTCTTTCCCTACCAAAGTGTTACCCATCCAATTTGGTTAATTCAACATATTTTTTTCCTGAAATAAAACTCCAGGGTTATTTATTGTTCAACTAGCTATAGCGCTCTTTTTGAGCCCACTTTGTTCTCAAATTATCTGTATAATTCCCATATTAATCAGTTGATGTAAATCGTAAATGGGATGCAACTTTTTCTATGTTTTTTTTTAAAATCATATTTCTCTAGTTGTTTTAGATTCTGAGTGTAGCGAAGAAGCTTATGGTTTTACAAAGATATTTATTTTTTTTCTGTGAACAGCTTTTCTGAAAGGAAATCGAAACTGGGAAGGTACTTTAGAAGTCATTCTTCGATTTCTCAAGTTTTCTCCTAAAAAGTAAAAAACTGAAAAAAAAATAGGGAAAATCACGGTGTAAGTATCTATTAGTTAAAAGATATTACGACCTACTTTTTCCCGCGTTTTTTTTTTTCAGTTTTCTTGACAAATGGGAAAAATCAAGAAAAAACATGAGAAAACTGGGATAAACGGGAAAATAGGTACAATATTAAACAAATATTATTAAAAAAAATATAAAATATATATTTAATTATTTTACCATAATGTTATATACATTTTAATGAAAAAACAACACTTAACTAAACTCCACTTAGAATCGTTTTTAGCAATGGTTTATCTTTGCTTACAGATATACATTAAATTACCATCTGTATCCTACCTTACCAAACTTCTCACTTACAACAGTGGCTGTACCCACATGTTAAGTATGTCAGTCTTTTTTATTCCCTAGTCACTAATCTAATAGTGCAGATGCACTACCTTTATATTTTCTGTATTTATTATATCCTACAACCTGCAATAATATCTGTAAATGCCATTTGACATATAACAAATAAAACAAATATATAATTTTATGAAATTATTATACACCAATGCAAATTGGTTAAAATAAGGGAAATTTTTTTTTTTTTATATTTTGTATTTCAAATTGAAGTTCAAATGGTATCTATGTGCTATACGTGCTTAAATTAATTAAAAAGATACAAATGAAAAAAATATTATTTTTTGTTTTGTTATTTTTAAACTCTAAATGGTTATGCCACATATTTGATCTCAGGTCTTTAAATAGTTTAATGACGACTAATAAATCATACATGTATCCCAAAATCATTGGTGTTAGTAAAAAGTTTAAATATGAAAAGTAACTAAATTATTCACTAAACAGTAATCAGTAAATTCGAGTCCATGTTTTAAATTAAAATAATTTCCAATAGAAAATATATTATTTATTTCAAATGAAAAAATGTCATTGCTTATATATCAACCCACAGGTTTACCTATTACAATTTTGAATGACTGCATAGAGTGCCAAGAAAAATATAATGGTTTGAAATGCTATAAATTGTAAAGTTCTATTCCTGGTTATTGCGATTTGATTTTTTTTTTTCTTGTCAAGGAGAGTATCAAATACCAACAAGGTTAAATAACTAACAACTAAGTAAGAAAATATAACATTTTTTACCTACATAAAAACCAAGTGTATTTGAAAATATTGTGTTAATATTGGTAGGTATCTAATTTCAAATATTTTTTTAGCACATGGAGTGAAGATTTTTGTTGTTATATTAAATGTAGCCATTACTAATGACATATGACAATAAGAAGATAATTTTGAATAATAATGTGACTAATTGGTATCCTATAAACCTTGGTATTAATAAATTATAAACTGCTGTATTGAAATTTTGTTTTAAGTTTATCTTTTTAAAGGTAGTTAGGAAAACCCATTCTGCAAGCTCCCAAAGTTCTCAGTTTATAAATGTATTTAATAAATAACTATAATTTCAAATACAATTATGAAAGAATTTGACAAATTATAACTATCAGTAGAACGAACACCGTTAATTGTATATTATTGTGTGTACTATTAGTCTATTTAAATACTAATTATGACTGGCATTACCACATAAGATTTAAAATATCCATTAATAAATACATCAAAATTTGCAATTATTCTTAGTAATTTCAGAATTATCAGAGACCCCTGAGCTCTGGGAATTTGCTTCTAATTGATTTTTTTTGTACAATATATAGAAAATTAACATTCTCGTAAAACCAATACATTCTTTGATTCGCTTTGAATCTAAAATCTGAATAGCATAGACAAGATGAGACTGTTATGGTATCTTTTGTAAAAAACATATTACAATCTGTTTCAGTTAAAAACAAAAAATACCTACCTAATATCGGTTTAAATTAACACAAATTAATAAAATAACATGAAATACGTAAAAAGAGATTAAAGGAGATTATTTGATAGTAGAAGCAAAGTTAAAGTGTTTGGGAAAAATATGCCTTCTACAAATCAAACAGTAAAGCAAGATATTTTAATTATTGTTACTTTACAAAATTTAAATTGTTAAAGAACCACAGAACATATCTAACAAAAAAAGAAAGCAGAGTAAATTATTTGCTTAAATGAACAAAAATGACTGTTAGATTATATAGGCTAGTATGTACAATGGAGTTTTTTTCACATGGGTTACCAGTTTGTCTAAAGAATATTCCTGCTTTAAAATTAGGGTCAAAAATGTATTAATTATTCAAGTTGTGAAATTTTCATCTTAAGCTTAAACTAAATTTTAGATAGACTGTTAATTTTCAGAAAACTATTCAGGACTTGAATTTTGTTGCAATTTGTTTCTAAATGCAAAGTAGAAATTAATATAACTCTTAATAATATTTTAATATTTTGTCTTTTAATTTGAATACTTTCTATATTTGTCAAATAATTTTTACTATTTGTCAATACTTTAAAGTTTATTTTAAACATACTAAATAGTCTTAACATAGCCAATATAAAATATAATCACAATACATACTACATAATATTACTTAATATTATGCAAAGAGGAAAGAAAAGTATTTAAAAACATGTTAACTTATATTAAAGTAGTAAATTTAAGTATTTATATAAAATAAATACTTATTATATCCAGCACCCCTTAAAACATATTTACTTCTTAAATAATAAAAGATAAGATAGATACATAAAAAACATGCAAATAAAAAATTGTTTATGATATTATTACAATGCAACCTTCAAATATGAAGCACTTAACGGAATAATTTTAGAAGATTTATAATTTATCTATAAATAACACAACATTAACAACTGTACTAAAATAACCAGGAAAGATATTTAAATTATGATATCCTCGATACACTCTTGACATTATTTTTTTATCCATTCCAAATTTAAAATGTGTAGGATGATAATATAAACGAGATAACCAAATATTATAGTCTAATTTACCCTCTGTGTAACTACTTCATTGTGCTGTATTCATAAAATATATTATAACATGTATTCCAAAAGAGTTCAACTAAATGTTTTTTAATTAAACAAAACCATTGCTACTATATTATCAACTTTTTAATGAAATTTAATTTAACATTGCAATTATACATATCAATGCATATTTAATTGTTATCAGTAGTTTGAATTATAACAATGAAAGTAATCAATTATTTAAGTTACTTGTAAAGTTTTTGGAATAGGATAGAGTACACACCTAAACAAAAAAAGTTTTAATTATATTATTATTTTAAAAAATATTGAGTTTTAAAGTGTTACCACTTAAAATTTAAAGAAGGATTATTATAATAGTATAATAAATAGTTTTAATATATCTTAGTACAATAATGATAAACTTTTACATAATATTTTATCATGCAAAAAATATATAAAATACATTTAATACAAATGTAAATGTTTATTCACATTTTGAATCAAAATTCTAATTAATTGGTTGCCATTTAGTAAATAGAACATTTATAATGATATGTATTTTGTTCAAAATATAATCAATATTAATATACATAAGAGGACGCTACATCTAGATTCACTGTTTCATGTTTCAGTTCAACTAATGGGCAAATGATCAAAATTACATAAACCATTTATAATTTAAATTGTAATGTTCATGCTAAAAATACTTATATATGTCTAAACTTTTAAAACAAATAATACATTTGAAGAGGAAATATGTTAATCATTCTAAAAATGTACAGCTATGTTAGCTATTTATTTAAATAACTTACTCGATTTACTTTAATTTTATTTTTAACAATTTTTTAAGAAAAAAACTCTAAGGTATCATTAGAAATATTCTTTTCTTTAAATTTTCTTATTACATGGTTTAAAATCATTTTTCAACCTGAGGGCTACAATTTAAATTCTAAAAACATAATGTAATTTACTATGTTACTATGTTGCACCATTTGTAAAGATAAGACAGTTATTGAGTTTGTGTGCTTAATGAGGTACCTACTGTATAAGTATACAATTTTCGACTATGCAAATACAAATCAATATTAATAGAGTAAGTTGAATCATGACTTCAAAGTCCCAAACAAGTTGCACACATTTAAATATTTAATACGTACCAACAAAAATTTGTTCAATTTTTTATAAGTAATATTAACTTCCTACATTTTTTTATTGTTTCAACAAGAGCTTAAATAATTTTATTTCTAAATTTGCAACATAACACGGGATCTATTAATTTTTCTATGATGTGCGTTTTTGAATTTTTTTTTCTACCTGTAAATAACTTTTTGAAAAGAAATCTTGCTTTGATATACAGTGAGATTTTTTTTATCACGAACCATTGTAGAATCGTTTAAGCTTTATTTTAAAACCATTTTTAATTTTTTACCTATACTCCATATAGCCTAAATAAGTATACTTTTGATATTTTAATAGGAACACCCTCTTTTGAACAGATTTAAATAAAGAATATTTTTCTAGAAATTTTCTTACACATAACACTAATATCATATTTACTGTTCATGAATAATAACAGTAAATCTGATTATTTTTGTTTTTATTCTTATGCTCTCCTTTACTGTTATGATATGTTCTAAATCATTAAGTAGTGAAATCATTAATTTTGTGGTTAGGGGTAAGTCCCCCCCTTATTTGCGCCTATGGTGTTATGATTCATCTACTGTAAAATTGTGTAGTTTATGTTTTCTACCAGAAATACTGCTTAGATAAAAAAAACAACTAAACCATTTTTATTGAATTTAAAATGGAGTTAGTAAATAAGAAAGTTGCTTTTTGATTTTCCCAGTTATTTTTTTTAATTATTGAACAAAATCAGAAAAAACTTAAATATATTTGTAGGCTTGAAATTTAGACAGAAAACTTATAATTCCCTTTTCTAGATATACAATTTTCAAAAAATTTAAAATTATTTTGAGCTATTTATTGATATTTTAATTTTAAGAGTTTTTTTACATAATTTTTATTTGGTAGGTACTCTATGGATTAAACTGACTAAACGAAAATTATTGAAAATTTAATAGGTTAGTTGTACTTTGCAGTTAAAAAAAAAAAATATAGTGTTACATAGTACTTTTTTTTATAAGAATTTTAAAATCAAACCTTAACGAAAATCATAAATATTACGGCAATTCAAAATATGTATAATGGTTTAGCAACAATAGTTTCTAACAGGTATAAATAAAATAACTTTATGTATACTACCATCCCAATATTCATCTTACAATAATGTACACCAGTCTCCAGTAATAAGTTTATTGATAATTGATTTCTTATCAAAAAATTACTGTTTATTATAGTAATCAAAATTAATCAAAATTGCATGTAATAACATAATTACTTCAAACATCCACTTCAACATTATATATCCTTCCAATATCTTTCCTTTTCATTTATTAAACAATGAGAACTCAATTAATTATATAATTATACACTATTATACAAGATATAGTATTGCATACTATTATATACTGTACAATACATTATAATAAACTGTATCAGTAAATTTGTATTATATTTTCAATGGACCTTATAACATAACATTTTAGATTCCAAGCGTAGTGAGGAAGCTAATGATTTTACAATGTCATTTATTTCTTCTTCTTATTGTTCTAGTCTCTGGACACATTTTTTTCTAGTGAACTTGCTTTGATTTTAACATGTAGTTATTTTTCTAAAAGCTCAAGTTGTCTAGATTATACTTTAGAAAGATCATTTTTTGATTTTCGACTTCATTTTTTAAATAAAAAAACACTTAAATGGGAAAAAACGTAGGAACATACAATTTCATGATTTCATTATTTTATACAAACACGGACAGGTTTTCTACAAAAAAAAAAATGATTTAATCGAAAATCACAAGACCCTTTTTTGTTGCGTTTTTGATTTACTTTTTAACGGTATCATCGCCAAAACTTTTGAGTCACTTTTGAGCTTTTAAGGAATTTTTTTTTTACTTTAATTCGGTAATAAATACACATAGACTTGAAACTTGGTAATAATACTTACATTGGACTTACCTAGACGTGATAAAATTTCTAAAATCATCGGACAACTTTTTTTTTTAATAAGCATTTTGAAATCAAATTTAAACGAAAATTACGAAAACTATGTATTTCTGAACTGAGTTTGGAACTGACTTTCGTCATCAAGCAATGGTTTATCGTTGCTTACAGATTTAAATGAAATAACCTTATATATCCTACCTTCCCTACTTCTCATCTATAACAGTGGCCGCTCCTATCCCCAGTATCAGTTCTTTTTGTGGCACTCTAATTAACTTTACCTTTATTTTATCTACACTCACGTGTAATAATATAAAATACATAACATAGATATAACATATAAAAGTATACATGATAATTGATGATAAAAATAATAATTAGGTAATATGTGTGATTAGTGCCTACTAAAAATTTCTCAAATTAATTATTTACTTGCTACCAAACCTGAAAATACCTATTTCTTAACAGATTTTATTAACATAAATTTATGAATATTAGTATTGAAAGAAATGCAATTTTAGTCAAATTTTTGATTATCTGTTTGCCATCATTATCCATTTTTGGAATTGATCCAATTATGTAATAAGAATTCTGAAAACAGATTTGAATTCTCACATATCTCTAATCTAGAGAAGATAATAATAAAAGGAAACAATTCACAACAAAAATATAAACAACTGAATAACATATTTTAATAATAAATCAAATGAAAGATCATGGCCTTAAAAGCTGAAATAGTTTGAAAAAAGCAGGCACATTAATAATTTATTTCATGTATTTTAAAAAATGTCCTTATTGAACTCTCTAAAATGGAAACTTTCACTCAGTCATACACTCATACACTCATACAAAAATTGTTACTATTATACAACTTGTATACATAAATTGTGAAAATAAATATAAATCAATTGTATTTGAATAATAATCAACCCTAAGCTTTAATATAAAAATAAATATACTGCTGTTAAAACAATAGCTCCTTTCCTCTCTCCTAAAATCAACTAAATTAGAAACATACAATTAACATTATCAAGAATATAGATTACTCATTATACAGCTAATGATTAAATAGCATGGAAAACTCAAAAAAATCAATCAATCGCCTTAAACTATATAAATTAAAACAAGTAAACACTGTATACAAATCTACAAATATTCATGAAAAAGAACATTGAACCAAAATTGAGGTTGCAATCTAACAATGGTAGACATTATAAGTACCTACCTTACCATGTTTATCTAACAGACAATATAGACAATAATGGTATAAAATAATTTCTCATTTGCTAAACAAAGACATTAGTGATAAATGTCATCTTTGAAGTATTTGCTTAAATTATCTAAATGGATTAATAAAACAATGGCCAAATCAATATCATAAAATATATTGAACAAAGAACCATTGCCTTCAATATTCTTCACAAACTGTTAACTAGAAGCAATTCAAAATTATTTAAAAGGGATAAACCAATAATGTTTTCATTGTCAACTATTAAAATTTCCTAACACTTAAATATGAAAGTATATATTTTAATGTACCTAATAATTATTAATTTATAATTATAATTTAGTGAGAATGATTGCAATAACAATTAAACATTAACAATTCTATTTTAACAGTATGTCAATTTGATAAATTGCTTTTATAATTATTAAATAGTATATTAACAGTTAATATTTGAAAGACAATTAAACATTATATTGAAGATTTAAACTATACTGTTACATTTTTACAAAAATATGTAAGGAATAAAACTAAATCAAATAAAATTAGATAACACAATCAAAAGGTCAAAAAGAGGAAGAATTTAAGAGTGATCGTAAAGAAGATTACCTAATGAATGTTTTTACTAATAACTGAGTTATGTCTTATTAAAGAATGATGTAAATATGCTGGGATCTAAAACATTTTGTGTGTTACCTGAGATTATCAAGGATTAACTATGGCAAATTTGATTGTATGTGTAGTTCTATTTTTAGTTGAAAAAAATCATTAATCAAATAGTAAATTTAATTACTTTCATAGAATCAATAACTTATTTACATAAACCATCTAAATTTGTTAATGTTTAATCACTATTAAAAATAAAACTAATGATCCCATCTATTTTATAAAAACATTACATATCATAATGTTATTTGTAATGTTATACATATCACTATGTATACTAAACATTACACTATCACAATGCTCTTGGGAAGCTCAATAAAAAAAAAAAAAAAATCAAGATTTTTATTTAATAATTATAATATAAAATAAATCTTTTTTAATTGTTATAATTATCGAGTTATAATAGAAAAAAACAATATTATATTCTTTGAAATTATCTTATGAAAAAATAATGTTCACTAAAGTTTAAAAATACTTGGATAATGTATATTTCTTCAATATAATTTAATAGTTTATTACAAATTTATGTGAAAATATATCAACTAATCCATTTGCAACAATAACAGAATATAATGAATTATACACACACATCATGGCACCATGTACCTAATAACACATTATCACATTTCTCAACTAGTTTGTCAAACTTAACTGAAACTTTTTTCAACAACTATCACACATACTAGCACACTCTTCAACAAAATATATATTTGAAAGTATTTAAGAATTTAAAAAATCCCGCATTAGATATTACAAATACCAAGTTAGTCAAAAGTTTTGTTAAGTACTTAAAAAATTGATAAAAATGGCCTTTGAATGAGCAAAATAGTATCGAAATAATCCATTCCAGGCTATTTTAAAATATAATGATAATTAATAATGAACCACTACACATATTTGTTATAGTAAACTGTTAAAATCATTAATTTCATACAATATTAAGTCATTTGAATTTAATTATATTTGTGACTAAAAATAAAATAAACTTTACCCTTATTAATTAACTCATAACATTTATCTTTATAAAAGCCTATTCTCAAAGAAAGGATACCCACATTTATAATTTACCTTGTCTTACATTCGTGTATTGTACTAAAATTGTTGCCTAACCTAACTTTCCAATAATGTGAGTAAGTTTTGTTAAAATTTATTTACATATTCCTTATTACAAAATATTTTCTAAAAATATCTTTATTTTATCAAAGATTATTTTAAATATATACGTCAGTAATAATTTATAGGTAACTATGTATTCATAATAAACTCCAAAATATAAACATATAAAAATACTTGCACTATTATTATTATATTTTCTTTACTTAATACAAATGTTAAATAGTGCAACATTAACGCAGAGCTCACATTATTGGAAGTAGAGAAGACAACTAAAAAATGCATTTGAAAGTCAAGGACAACAGATATACATGTGACGTCCTCTAAAATAATGTGATAATAAAAATAAAATTATATTTATTGATTTTAACAGTTAGAACCGAGTATTCGGTAAATGAGTGTTAAGTGTCATGCAAGTATTTAATATGGATTTACTAACAAAAAAATATACCCACCTGCTGCCAAACCTCCCTCAACAAAAGAGTACTTGACATAGTATAACATACCTAGTTGTTATAACCTATACTTACGTGCGAATAAACCAAACCCAGTTGCAACCAGCAAGTTTCTTACAATTACAAAACTAATAAACACCCGAAATCATATTACGAATGGAGAAATTAAAAGTAATACCCAAATTATAAAAATACAGAACTGTTGAAAAGCCATAACTAAGTACCTACATATTGATGGATTTCTGTATTTTAATATCTATAAGTGGCATAGTCTCACCATTACAACTCCTCTTGGTCAGGGTGGCTCTCATTTCATCAACATCGATTTTAACGTTTATCGCATACTCTGCGATATGAGCGCAATCAATTTCGTCATCCATGATTACAGACATTCTCGTTGGCAGGTTATCGGAAGAGACCGGGACCGATGACGTCGCACACAAAACAATTCCAAACGTTGAACTATTCAATACAATTGAATCTACCAGAAAACACAGTGGTTAGAATACAGTTAATAAAAAATAAATATATAGAAATCAGTAACAAGCGAACCCGGTCCAACAGCGGCCAACTGTATAACAGATGACGCTTGCGACGATGATGAAGATAACGGTGATTGATGGCGACGACGACGTCGACGGGCAACGAACGGATGACGACGACGAAACCCGACTATATAGTCGTTCCAGTTTTTGGTTTGCGAACGCAAAAAGTGGTGCGCGCGAACGCCCGCTCGCTCACTTTGGGTTCAGCCGAACCTTTTGAGGTGCGAGTGTGTGTGCGCGCGTGTGTGTGTGTGTACGGATGCTAGTGGCGAAGTGCAGTTGTAACAATTGACTTGACCGACAAGCCTTGACGGCGAACACCGAACCACCGTAGACCACGGCAACTGGCTTGTACTTGGAGAATGGGCGCAGATCCTCCGAGAGGTGCGGAGACGGCGGCGGCCGGATGGTTGACGTCACGGACGAGTCACGACCGCGGCGGCGGCGCTACGAAATCCCCGTCGTCACTCATCGTCACCAGTCGGAACGTCGACGGTGGTGGCGGGACGGTTAGAGGGGCGAGTGGCAAAATGGCGTTAGCAGCAGCTGTTCGTGGCGGCGGCGACGCAGTAGCGACGGAATCGCACCGATGCGCATCGGTCGCGAACAACGGTGCGCTTCGTCGGAACCCCGCGCCGTGTCGTCCGTCTGCGGCCGTGCGCGCACGGCGCACGGTCGCGGCCTCAAATCCCCGGGCAACCGTAGCGATCGATCGAACTAAAACGCAGTGCGGTCGTCCGCCCACCGGGCCACCTGCTCACCCGTCCGCCGGGTAACGGCGCGGCCGTTCGTTGCGACTTTCGAGATCCCCGAATAATGTTTCTCGCACTTAAAATACACAGTGCTATTGTTATACGAATCCGAATGACCGAATATCAGATGCATTTTCCGTTAAAAAACCTGCAACAATAATATTGCCGTCGCGTATGCGTAGTCGGTTTCAAAATCATTTTGATGAAATCGTAATCGCTCTGTTGGAACGGCGGTGTTATACTGTGTGTGTGTGTGTGTGTGGATAACTCGAAAAGCGAGTTTGGAAATTTGTCCGCATTTTCAAATACGTGTAAAAACGAAACTATCGTTACATGAAATGCATTCACGCGGCTTGCGAATAAAATCGATTAGCTCGCGGTCGAATTCAGGAAACTGCCCGGGTCCACTGCCTATGACCCAAAACCCCAAAAATTATTGCGAACAATGAATTATGAATGTTACGCGGAACGTGGGCGCATCCACAGCGTTGATTTTTCAGAACGCCCCGGGTACTCGCTTGTGACAATGCGATGCGCACCTATTCCATTCACCGTCGAGCGAGTGTAGCGACACCGCCGAACACGATAGCATTATAGATCGAAACGGGAGTTTGATGGCAATCGTCAACAACATTTCAAGAATTAAAACCGCGTGGGAAAAAAAAAACCCCTAATTAACGCGGCCATACATTTTCCGTATGAAAATTTGTTGGGAAACAAACTGCGCGCGCATCTCGAACGTATTCATCGCTTAGAGGCACGTTTTGTAATTTACATTTTCAATGCGATTTTAAAAACTAACCAATTGGATTTCTTCGGGTAAAACGAAAAAGAAATTCTTTACCAACACACCCATCCGTATGTTGTGGATGATGCGTAATCGCCAAACAGGCCCGGTTTTACATAAACCGTCTACTGGGCGGACACGAGCGGTCAGAATAACATCCGAGGGAGACGTGTGCGCGCACGGTTTATTTTTAAACCCTGGTGGCGGGTACAAAATGTCCGCGGACAAACGCGCCCGGGACAAAAACCGCCGGTCAGTTCCCGATTCCTGAACGTCCGGTCGGGTTCGGTTTAGTTCCCCGGCAATATTCGGTAATGATGTCGTCACGGTCGGAAGTTTTTCCAACCGCCGACGGATCCGGCCTCTTGTAAACGCATTGCCTAGACACTCGTCGTATGCGACGACAAACCGTTGCATTTACAGCGACCTATTTTCCCCCAAAATAACTTTGGGCGTCGTAATGGTTCTCTTCTCTAACTTGTTCGACGCGGCACGGTCACGCCGCAACCTGTCGAACCGCATTTTTACCGCGATTGGAAGTGGTAAAAATGAAAATCTGTGTTTTTTTTTTTTTTTTTTCCTGTGTGTTCGTCTACAGTTATTGTACACTGCCCACCGTGTCCACGTACAATGCGGCGTGTGAACTGTGAAACCGCCGTAGTGACGTTACCGCCGCAACTGTTTGAACGACGTGTACACCGTGTAGACGAAATAATATTTTATTGGTGTGTGGACTTTGTTTTTTTCGGCCGCCGCGGAGCGCAGCGTCTGTATAGAAAAAAAAAAAAAAAAAAAAAAAAAACTACCGAACACGATTGGTATACCATACCTATGTTATATCGTGGCCATAGGCATACGCACACGAAACAAAAAGTAGCGGAACTGGTTAGGTGGGTACTGTTTCGAATATTTTCGGAGATTAGGCTACGTGATAGTAGGAAACAAGAAAAAAAAAAACTACATTATAATATTGACCGCCGTGAACCCGAGCGAGTAGGCTTTGTAATAGGAAATCTGTTGCCAGGAATTGTAGTATTACTGCTGCGCGCCGTAATACATTAAAAACCCGATATTCGGCGATATTATTATTTTCCGAATTTCGGAATATTAATTAATTAATTTTTTTTTTTTTTTTTTACAATCGGCGCGTTTTAATTTCGACGACGTAATTATTTGCGAAAAAAAAACGTTTCGGAATTATTTCGAAGTCTACAGCTAATGCCGATTCCGATACGCTGCGCTGTGCACAATATTATGGAGCAAAGTGGATTTTAGCCTCATATTTGAATAATAAATGAACAAACGGCCGATGGGCCCGGGACACAGAATAATTGCAGAACGATCGATAACAACGAAATACACAAAGGCGCGGACCGGCCGGGGTGTCGGCGACCCACGCCCTACGGTTTATTCGTCCGGACCGGCACGAATTCGCTTGAAATTCATTCCGCTTAAAATGAACATACATTTTTTAATACAATTAATTGTGTAAACGATTCTCTGATAACAATGCAACAGATATAATATTACTCGGTAAACAGATTATTATAAATAATTTGCTCATAAAGATATTCAATAATTACCGTCTCCATCGATTGTTTTGCGTCGCCTACTGATAATCGTATAGGCATTAGCTGCAATTTTCAGTTTCTCGACGTATTATTACGCTGTTTTCGAAAAATTCCGGACTTCCGGCGCTTTTTGTAATTTCAAAAAACCGCAAACTAACTTGTTATTCATTTTGTGTTTACAGAGTACAATGTATAAGTTTAAATTTAAATGTGTCGACAAATTTTGAACCGACCTTGTTTTCGAATCGTTTTTATGTGCACTGACTTATCATTGCGTAGGCACAGACATAAAATAAACTACCTGCCCTGTGTGCATATCTTATGTTTTATAATTTGCCCCAATTATTGATGAAATTTGTTCGAAAATAATTTAGCGTGCATTTTTTTATCAGTCTGCGGCTGATTAGACACTCATTATCTAGGAAAGGATCAAGTTTTTTGGAATTTTCTTTTGGAAAAACTGAGAAACAAGTAGCTCTAAAATGTTAAAGTAACCTTATGATTGGAGCCATGGCGGTGAAATCGCTATTAAATTAAAAATTGAATGGCACTTTAAAAATGTCCACACTGAAATGTATTAAAACTAAAATTTATATTTGTATAGAGTTTTTAACATATACAGTATACAAGTTGCCATATTAAAAATCAAAATGTGATATATTACATTGTTTCGCCACTAAACATAAGCATGACAAATAATAAAGGCAAATGTTACAATTTAAAACAACTTTTTTCTTAAATTTCTCAACAAATATTTTCAAAATAATGAGTATTTTATACAACATATAGGTATTTAACAAAATTTTACATACTAAAACATTGCTATGGATATAATTTCAAATATTGATATCGTTCAAAATTTACCGATATCGTATCGAAAATTATCGAATTAATACCTTCCGAAATCAGAAATATCGATTTTATTTTATTTAAAAAAAAACTGTTTTTTTTTTTAGTATTCATTTAACCAAATTTACATCAAATTGAGAAATTTAACTCATTTAACTCAATTTACTTTATTAATGCTATTTTTCGCAAAATGTTATTTTTACTTAACGCGTGTATAATAATAATAATATGGCAGTTTCTCGTGTAACTTAAATATAAAATTTTTTATCTTATTGATTTTACTGGTTTTTTATCGCCTAAATAAAACGATATATCAACGATCTATAAAACATATAATTGTTTAATGTTTAGTCGCTTCGTTCGTTTTACGCGGTGAACAGTGCATTCAAAAATTTGTTATAAGTATATTAATTTTATAAACTATAATCAATTAATCATATCAAATCAACAAATTATAGTCAAATAATCAGAGAAAAAACGGGAAAATATAAGAAATGTAGGTATTTATTAAAATGTATTTCGGTCTTATTTTTTTCTGTGCATAACTTTTCTACCAGCAATTTTGCTCCAATTTATAATGGTAGCAATTTTTCGAAATGGAAATTTGACTGTAGAGGTACTTTAGAGAGGGTATTTTTAGATTTTCTCAACATTTGTATTTACACAAAAATACAAATATTTTTCTGATAATTTGTATTAATCACTTGTAAATTCCTATGGATTCCTATGGAAAGTGTGATAATTCTGCGTCTGAAAATATCAAATCATCAATCAATACCGAAGGATATATTTTGGTAACATTTTGTTTTTAATGCCTACCTATTTGTATTAGAGTATCCATTATATATAAGTAGGTAATTTATTTTTATTTTTCTAAGTCTCACCCCCTAAATTTATGTACCTATATGAAAAAAAAACTAAAATAAGACAAGAAAAATAACTAAGAATACAATACCATATTAGATGGGTGGAAGTTAGGGAACCGGTGTCAGGGGGACTCTTGATAAGAAATGAGTGTCATGGCATCGTGTAATTCAGTTGCCTATGGCATACAAATTAAAGGAGTAAAATTGCGAAAGCAAGAGGTACATAATAGTATAAATCTGAACACTAGATAGCGCTTTTGAGTCCAATAAAAATTGATCTATTAGGTAGGCGATATCATTGATCATATATTTAATCAATGGCAATATTCTACACAGACGCAACGTTGCAAACAGCTAAACGCAGAAACTATACAACTAAATTTGATGAAGTTTTATTTAATCGGTTATTTTTTTAAACCGTAGTATAAATATAGAATTAGGTTTTTGTAAAATGTATAGCCAAGCACCGATTCGAAGAAACGGTGCACTAAATTTTTGAAAAAATTCAAATTTCGGCTGCGTGTTATGATAGTAGGTACCATTTTCAAACGCATACTATGTATAAATAAAATGTATGTATTTCTATACCTAATATAAATATATACACGGCATGCTGTGAATAAAATAAGGGAAAAATATTTTTTTATCCGGAACACTTTTTCTCCTAGAAATTTCGCTCAAAACTATCGACTATTGACCCTGACCTGAAAAGAAATTTTATCATCTGTAGGTACCTACTACCATTGATTTTATATATATATATAGTATATTATTATAATATAGAATATTATATTCTAAAATCAATGCTACTACCTAGATATCGTAGTGGGCTCGCAGTTCACTATCTTATTATTTTGAGAACCATTTGTTTTAATATTATTTGAAAAGCAAGCTGCGATTGCATAAAAATCCCTAATACTGATATATTTTGCACGATGGTTGGGCCACTGTTGTAGGTGAAAATTTAAAAAGGTAGATTATATAAAAGAACTTAATGTATATATATCAATGATTAACCATTGCTAACAAAAACCAGGGTTTGGTTATGTATGTTTTTAAAAGATGTAATATTTAAGATTTCCGTCAAAATTTGTTATTGGAATTCTCACAAAAAGAAAATTCTAGATTTCACTCAATTTTTATAATTTTCGATTTTATAATTTGATATTTTACTATTATGATAATAATAATAGTTATTGTTATATTTAATAGACATATTATTGTTCTAAATTAATATTTTTATACAAATTAAAAAAAACAAAACTAATCTATCATAATAATATAAAAATTATATTTTTCTCCTAACCTTGAATCAAGTACAAAATTCCATACAAAATAAAATTATGTATTTACCTACCTATTATTAATATTATTAGGTGTATCTAATACCGATAACAATTATATATATATATATATCTTTATTGGTACTTACCTATATTTACTAAAATATTCTTGTAAAATTCACCGGTAAGCATATTATTATTACCTATGTTGAATAAGTTGTAATAATTGGTACACAAAAAAAGGTTTGACGAAAATCCATGAAAATTACAACATTTCAAAATACGTCTTACCGAATTTTATCCTGAATCGTATTTCTTCAGCAAAGGTTTGTCATTGCGTATAAATGCAAAAAGAAATAGCGTGTATGCTTATAACGTATTCAATCTTCCCAACTTCTCATCTACAACTGGCTAAAACAGTGAATGTACTCGTAACTTGTATCAGAGTTTTTTTTTTTTTTTGGTTTTAGTTTCACTTTAAAACTTTAAAATAAAATAAATTAACCAGATTCTGACTCTGCTGATTCGACGACATTGTTGACTATGTTCAGGTTAGCGGGATTGTACAATATAGCACACAATCGGAAAAACTCTATTAGAGGGTCGACATTTTGTATACGACACGATTTCAAAAACATATGATTCCGCCAAGTACCCTGGGTAAAATCGTTTTTTGCGACAATACTGGCTCATAGATGCTTTAGCATGACGCCACATTCCTTCTACATTATTAGTATAAGCTCCGGTCTCGGGTTATTTAAATTGAATTGAGTGATTAATAGTTATATGTGTGTAACCCTCATCTTGTAAACAATCCTAACTCTAAATGTATCAAACTAAAATTAATCTTAATAATGTTGGTATATTAGTTCGTAAATTGTAAAATAGATTACACACTTTCCAACAATGTTTTTTTATTTCTACGTTCGACAGGTATTAAGAAACATTTACCTGTTTTCCGCTCTACACCACCAAAAACCCACTGTCCTTCCACTCGATGCCCTCTATGATACTCCCGTCGACCAAACTTAGACTCATTAATTGCTAGAGTTTTTCCTTTTTTAACCTTAATAATAATTGAACGTTTGTAATTCTAAAACTAAGTCAGATTGCCTTATTCTGACTTCAATAAAAAAAACTTTGTTAGCAAAATCTTAGTAATCAAAAATCATAATAAAAAAAATGTCAATTTTTGACCATATTTTGGATGAATTTCAAAAATGCTATTTTCGAAGTTTTATGTACAAAAACTATAAAAGTAAGTATGATAGGTAAGTTTTTATTATACCGATGGATTTACCCAAGCATTTAAAAATTCACATTTTGAAAAAAAAAAATTTAAAAATATTAAATTTTAACTAAGAAATACGCGAAACGGAAAACCCGAACTTAATAAAATTTTTCCTCATAACTTCAAAACAAAGTTCATCCGCCTTGATTTGTTTTTAGATTATTAATGTACACGTAAAACCTCACATTATGAAAAAAAAATCTCAATAAATTCTGGGGCCACTAAAGAGATTTATTTCCCAATTTTTAGGGGGGGGGGAGTATAATTTTTATTGATTAATATTTGTTGACAAGCTGTAGATTATAGCTTTACACTATAGTACTGCAGTAGTCGTTATTCAAATTTGCTAGGTTTTGGCGGTAAGCCGATCGCGGCGCTGTGTCCGCGTCCGAATTATAATATATACATATAATATAATATATAAATAATATGTATATATTTTTCATTTCTATAATATACCATGTAGGTACACGGAATAAAATTAATACAATAATGGACAAATATTGGCTACTTCATCAAAATGTGTCTACTGTGATAATACGAGCCAATCAGAAAAGAGTATTTCACAGGAAACGAAACGACAAGGTGAGATGAGGAATCCCCTTTATAATACAAGTCCATGATATCGAAAATACGTGTTATCACTTTATAAGTTTATCATTATTTTTACATAGGCACCTTCAAAGATAATAAACTTTATTATCTATGGGTATTTTAACAAAGGTATTATTTTAAAACCGTGGTAGGTTTTTATCATAACAAAATATCAAATTATCACGACTCTTCAACTCTTCAAGTTTTAAATGAATATTTTCCCCGTGATATAACATTAGATATTATAATTTACCAATTACAATTTTAATTTTAACGATATCTGTTAAATTTCATTATAACGATAATAACGTTTAAATAGTTCCAAAAAATGAGAGGATGGAATGCAGTAAATTCACATTGTGAATTTTCGTTTTCAGCGTCTACCTATATTCATGTTTTTCAATTTCCTAGATACTCAAACAGATGAAATTTTAAGTTACAAATTTGTCGCCGAGAATACCAGTCTATATATTCTTTAAAACTGTATGCAGTAAGTTAATTATTTTAAACTCTAAAACATTTAATAATAAATATTCACATAATACCTATACAATTATAGCAGTCATACAGAATCCTGTGAATGAATTGAAAATAATCAACGTTTAAAGCAATTTTAACATTTGGATAATGTCACGGACAATAAAACTTCAAACAAACATGTTCCCCTTAAAAAAAAGTAATTTTTGTTATTTATTATTAATTATTGTAACAAATAATTGTTATAATATTTTTGATTTGTGTGCATTTAGTGGTTTATTAATGGTACTCCACACACATAATATCTACTATCTTAGTACATGCAGGATTTTTTTCGAGAGGGGTTTTGTTTATAATAATTTCCTAGATGACTAGATACTAGAGAGAGGATAGCACATATCAGTACAATACTATCACTATTTTTACTTAATAATAAATTATTTTTGATAAAATAAAATTTTGTTTTATTCTGTGGTATACGATATCATGTTTTGAATGTAAAACTGGATTTAAAAATATGTATTAAAAGAAGACATTTCGGAGGGAGTTATGACTCCTTAACTCCCCCTCTTTGTGTATCACTGATCTCAGTCTTACAAATGCACATTTCCAAACTAACTGTTTAGTATTATTATATTATAGACTGTGAATGATTGTAGCGGTAGTGTTCTATGAAGAATTGTCTCTGTAACCATATTCTGTAGTGAGTTTAGCAATTAATTTGGAAATTACTTTGTATAATTAAAAATTATCATTATTTTGTATTTTAGCTGTTGGAAAGGAATGTAACTAGTTGAGCATGTTAGTGGCTTGAGTGAAAAATGTTATTCACTGGATTCTATTCCAACTTGAAAAAAAAAAGTAAGTCATCCCATTAATACCCTTTCTAGTTGTGCATTTGAAAAAGAAAACTGTTAACTATCAATTTACATCCATAAATACATTTGTTTACAATTATATTATTACAAGCACAAATAATTATTTTTCTATGAAATGTATAATTTTTTCAATATTCATTAAGTATTATATTGATTTAAAATAAATCCATCAATTTTGTTATGTAATGAGCAAAGTTCGGGAATTATAGCACAAAAAAACCTTGAAAAAAAGCCTTCAAGAAAATATTATTATCTACCAAATGGTAGAAGGTTTAAATGTCTTCTTTCAACGACTCTAAATTATTTATTTAAATTTATTTTCTAACATGACATAAATTATTATCAAAAATGTATTTTGATTAAATAAAATTGTACGTATTATAAAAAAAATAACTTGGTTAATAATTTGTAAAATGTTAGAAAATCTTATTTAATTAGTTTATGTTGTTAGAGGGAGAACATTTTAACCCTTCTATCATTAGGTCTATTATTATTTGTTTGAAGTGCTTTTTTTCAAGGTTTTTTTGAAATATTTGTGAAATTTAAATGTTAAAAGTCCCGAACCCTGGTAATGTGTAATGAATTTTAACATTAAATTGTTTCGGTATAAAATGAAAAAAAATATATAAACCAATTATTAAAGATAGCTGTTGTAATATTGTAAAAGAACAATAAATGTTTAATTGATTAATTTCTACTAAAAAATATTAAATAATATTCATTCATTATAAAAGTCAGTCTAGTTTATTCATAATATTATCAATTTGTAAATCATTATTTATTAAATTTATTTATAAACAATATTTTGTTTGGTGTTTTTTTTCGTATTTTAGCTGCTGGGAAGTTATTCAATCAGTTAAAATTCCACAGAGCATGTAAACTGTTCGAATGAGAAATTGTCATTGTATTCTATTGTCAAATGTCAATTACCTACTTTAAATTTGAATGAAAAAGTAAGACATTATGTTTATAATCTCCTTAGTGATCCATTAACTTTTAAATTTGATTTAAATAATTTATACTATTTTGTTAAAAATAATATAACTAATCAGTGGCGCAACCGGGACTTACTTTACTTTTTTTTTTATGAAAAATTTAAAGGATTTTGTTGAGGAAGAGTCTATAAGGTTTATGAGTCAAATATTTAAATTGTTTGACTTTTATTTATGGTTTATGCATATTGCAAAACAATTAATTCATATTAAATATTTAAATATACCTAATTCCTAAGTCATAGTATAATAATAATTATTATTATTTACAGTCTAAGATTAATTCTTTGAATAACACATACGCAATGGTACAATATTATGTTTTAAATTTGTATATAAATCAATACAGCTACATACTAAGTAGAATTCGTAAAAAACTCGCAAACATATATATATAGAGGTTTACAACCTCCAAAGCCCCCCTCCCTAGTTGTGCCACTGAAACTAATATTCAAAATAAAAATAATTAATTTTTATTCTAACAGTATAATATAGAAAAATGCAATCAACAATAACTTGAAACAAAAGTACCTACTATTTTAATGTATAAATTAATATGCACCAATTATTATCAGATATTTTATGAACAATTTGTAATTTTGTTTACAATTATTAAAATATTTGTATTTCCCTTAGTAGTTTGGAAAATTATCAACAAGAAGTATCGTATGAAATCATAAATCTGCTAGTAACCAGTGAAATTTTATTCATTACTAGGTGAGTATATTTATTTTAACGGTAATTAGGGTACACCGAATACTAATAATAAATGTATATTATCCATTATTTACATGTTATTATAATTTCATTATATTAAAAATGTGTATATATAAGTAAAATTTAAAGATAAATACAAAATAAAAACTTGGTAATTTAATTTTGCTAAATTTAAAACACGAAATTCCGTCCCATTTTGCACAGACTTCGTACTGTCAGATTAACATTAACACAAATCTTTGGAAGTAGATTAATGAAATGTTAATATCTGGTATTGTTAAAAATTTTGTTTCTATTTAACAAACATGTAATGGCTAATTGAATCTTATTTTATTTTTTACTAAAAATCATTTGCCGCACTATACTTATTTTATGATGAACTAACCCGGCTTCGCACGCGTGCAATTTTTATATTACCTACAACTTTTATTTATCAGTTATTGTATTACAGTTATAGTTAGTATTTAGAAATGTCTTGTAATAACCAGAAAAATGTTCTATTTTAGTATTTCAATGACAAATTTTAAGAGAATTCTTATCGAAGAAATATTGAATTATCAATATATACCCTATAGTATAGCTGTTTAGTTGAACAAATTTTTTTAAATTGTTTTATGTTTTATTTTTATTCATATGATTCTTATTATTACTGTTGTTACTATTATTGTTATTGGGAGGCATGACTGCACAAAAATGGCGTGTTGAATTTAAATTTGTTGGGCATTGATCAGCAATCAAAATTACAATGAAATTAACAAACAATATTCAGTAGATACCATAGATACATTTTGACTATAGAGACCACAAAATCAACTAAAATATCAAACTGTCTGTGTCAGTTATCTTTTAGAGGTTGAATTTTAGAAATTTCAATAGCTATAAACCTCCAGACCACGTGGAATATTTTGCAAAAAACCCTGTTGAAATCAATCCAGTAGTTTTTGAGTTTATAAAGGACATACAGGCAGACATTTTTTTTATATATATGTAGAGATTTAAATTATATTATTTTCGTTTATTTTCACTCAAATGTTCAGTGACGTTTTAAATTTATTGTTGATCAAAATTCAATTTTTATTGTAAAATATTTGTTATATTATATAAATATTTCGAAAGACTTAGTAGTTTACTAATTATTATCATCCAAATTCATAGTGCAATATTCTGGTCATTAGATTATTACATTTACCATATAAAGAACAAAATTAACAGTTTTTTTTTTTTTTATAGTTTTCAATTCTCTGTTCTTTAAGAATACAGTTCAGTGCCATTCAACGACAAAAAGACGAACATACCATCCACTCGACACATTCATCTTCCATCTGAGGCCGATGTTTTCCAGAATGCCTATCACAGTAGAAACACACTTTAGTTATATCTTCAGAGTTCAACAATAGGTATCTTTTAAGTGTATCTTTGTAATTGTGAGGGTTGAATTCTACATTGAAATGTGATTTGCTCATAATTGTAAACGCGTAGTTTAATATAAAAACTCCACAGTTAAATGAATCTCTTTTTGGAACATTGATTAAATTTTATTGGTGGAATTTCACCTTCAAAATTAGAATTTGATTTAATTTTTTTCCACAAGGATTCAAACTTGATTTTTAAATAGTGATTTTCATTGTCATATGGTTTATATGATGTGATACTCTTTTGTATACAAATTTATGATTGCTATTATCCAATGATTTTCATTAATTAGCCATGGTACAATAGCCATACTGTTCTCCTTAAATGTAATCGTCTTGTCAAATCGTTCTCCAACCTATGTTTATCCATCAACAAATTCACTGTATTAACTGTTAAAATATGAGTTGTGTTTATTATATCAAGTTATTTAGCATACGTTGCCAAACAGATACTGATAACAAAGTTGCATAGCCAATGGTGGTTTTCTGTTAATATGTCAAAAGATGCAATATCCAAGCCTACCAGAATATCTGAATTTAGCTTGTTCCTTATGTAATCATCCCAACTAAATAATACTTATTATTATTTTTATTTAAAATTTTATTGTGTCCTTAGGAAGACCAGTCTTATAATGATGTTCTGACCTTAGTTCGATTGAATGGAAATTTAAAACTACCACTCGTAGAAGTCGATTTCTTTGTGCCATTGTGAATTTCTATAATGCAACTATTTTTGCCATTATTTTATTGTTTTGTTCATTCTTGCAAAATGTTTTTTTTTTAATCTTCCTCATTGCCAATAGATTTTTGGGATTTAAATGGCCGATACTTGGATGGTAATAGGTATTTATGTGATTTTTCTTTTTCCCTCAATATTTTATGGTGTTTAGATGATTTAGAGTACTCTCATATTTATTTAATTTTTTTAACAATAAATCCAGAAATATATGTTTGAGTTTGGTCTTGTAAAAACTGAATTTCTATATTATTTTGTGTAGTGTTTACTGTAGGCTGATTGATATTTATACTTTTATTATCTGTACACATCATTATTGTCGTCACTATACTTGAGAACACACTATGATATGCTATTAAACTACCTTCAATAAAATCTTCCCAATTAGATCTTGGAGAACGAAAATACACTAGATTATTCATTAATAATGTTTTGTAAGCTGAAGCTAATGCAGTACAATTAGGATTGTTTGCTCCAATACTTTGCACACTTCCAAATAAATTTTCACTTCAGATTAAGGTGTCTTTGTAAAATAGAATGTATACCATTTTTATTTAACATACTAAACAACGTTTGAAAACCTAAACAATCTATATATTGAAGTAAATTTATTAAAAACTATGAAATTCAAAAGATAAAACTTAATAAGTAGTATCTCACCTCTAATAGTATCTTGCTAATTATTAAGAGTTGGTGTAAAATTTTTTTTCCCATGTACGTCTATATATTTTATTGAATTTAATACTTTTAGACTGTCAATCCATAGTTGATGTTGTGAATTTTTTTTTACAGCAGTTTGATATACTTTTCCGTTGTGTATTTTATCTTAGCTACCATTTAAAGAATCAAATAGTTTATCAAAAAAAAGGCAAATGAAAGCAATAAACTTTGCTTCAGGATCTATTATACTTCGACTTATAAACATTATTTCAAAATAATATTATTTGATCATTATAAGTAGGGGTGTAGTTTATAAATTATAAAAGTGAAGTACTTGCAGGCTAAAAAATTCATTGTGGATTATACTCTCTGACTTAATACTTGTGTGGCATACTTCACTTTTATGTTTTTGATTTTGGCTCTAACCACATAATTGTCAGTATGATGAGAAAGCATTTTGTACTCTAGAATAGAATTATATAGATTATAAAGTTGTTCAATGTGTGACCATTTAGCAAGGTGTTCTTGACTATTAAGGGTGAATTGTAAATATTTTGTTAATAGATTGTTTCATATGCATTTTATTAAAAGTGGCACGTTAAATAAATTAACTAGTTGTATAAATTATTAATTTCAATTTCATATACATCATTTCTTAACTCCAGATTATTTTTTAATTAATATGCTTTAGTATCAGTTTTTAAAATTTTAATAGCACCTTCATTAGCTCGTCCTTGGTCTGAAATTATTGCAATAACATGCAATCCAACATTGTTGACTTGTTTAATTACCTGAAATATAAGAAAATTATTAGATAAGAAATACTATATTTCCATAAATGTACAAGTATATTTATGTTTCAATACCACTTTTAATTGGCATACAAGTTCAAATTGATTTGTGGCTCTTTGACAAAAACTATAAAAAAGTAGTTGCTTAAATTTTTTTTTTTATTCCTCTCAACATGAAAACTAAAGTATGGTATGCAAGTTCTTTAGATTTTGAATTTTGGGTTTTACGAACCCATCAATTTCATCTATAGTACGATTATAAGAGTCCACTAAAATAGCCAATGAAGGTAGTTTTGTTTTGTTATGTATTGAACTAAAGAAATATAGTACTTAGCAAAATAATTTATCACTAATAACTATAAATTATTAATTTTGACAAACAAATCAAACAATTTGGAATTCATTATTTTCCTTTTAAAATAATCAACTTGCAGGAAATAATATAAGTATTACATTTTACATTCTACAGCTATTAAAGTGATACATTTTTTTTTTTTGCTTAGTGCTACATTTCTTTAGTTAAACCTATAAAACAATGAAACTACACTATTTGGCTATTTTTCAACACTCCAGGAGCACAGAAAGAGGCCAGAGTAGTCATGACCAAGTTTAATCAAAATTACTCTCTTATAAAAATGAAAAAATTTAGGGGGTCCTACATTACAAGTAGGTATCAATTTTTTTTTCTTTTATAAATAAGGTCCACCCTAACATATGATTTGGAAATAAATTTAATTGTTTATTTATAATGTGTTTCTTTGAATTTTTATAGTTCAGTATCAGCATGGTGATGAAGAATGAATAAAAGTCTGGTTAAGATTGTGATCAAATAGTTTAAATTATCAAGTTATCCCAAAAATGATCAAATTAAGTATTCTAAAATAAAAAAATACTGTTAGATTAATAAACAAAACCCTTATGTTAATTGATTTATAATTTACTCGCTGTGTATTATAATAATTCATTTTTTTCACCCGATTCCCTGTATATTTACCATTCAGTATTTATTTAATTAATATTTTACTAACCATTTTTTTTTATATATTTTTCATTATTATAATTTGTTATGTATAATAGTTACATTATTTATACTTTTGAAATATGTATTAAGAAAAACTAATTTTGAAATTCACTGTATTTTGTACATTTGAAACTTATCTATAATGTAACATAGATTAGAAAATCATTGATTATTAATATTAACTAAAATATAACTATGATCTCTATATTTCTTCATATTTCTATATATTTAAAAATATGATATGTATTGTAAAACAGATTTCTTTGTAATCATACAGAGTGGGTCAGCCAGAGGCCAGGAAGATTTTAGGATGGGCCGCGATCCACCCTGGCCCATCCCTGGCTCTGCCACTGGGTACAGGTGGCAAAGTTTGTGTTTAGCAGTATGGTCTTAAATTCTGAAACTAAGAAAGAAAAAAAAGAAGAAGAAGAAGATAATAAATGTATCTTACATTTTGTTATTATATTATAATTGTAGTGAAGAATATATGTAGCTTTAAATTAAGATGTGTTTTTTGTTAAAAAACTCAACATTATTCATGTTATATGTTTCTATCTAAATCTAAAAAAACTGACAACAAATGTCGATACATTGGCTTTATTTTTGTTGAGTTTTATGTTATTTTTTGGTTAGATAAGAGATAAAATACGACTAATGTCTAATACTATAGAACCATAACAGTTTACCGAGCTTTGCTTATAATTATTATTTGATTGCAATAATTTATTGTTGCCATCATGCACATATGTAAACTAATTATCTTACTAATATATTGGCTACATGTAAACTCATACAAAAATGACCTTTTTACTTGTATTTAAAACATAGTGTAAACTCCTACACAGTGCCTTTTTACATTTTAGATTCTGAGTAGTGAGGAATGTATATTGGTTTTAAAATGATGTTTATTTGAGATACTTGAACTTAAGTGGAAAAAAACGTACAATTTTATGATTACATTATTTTAAATTAACGCTCTCGACTTTTTATACCAGAAATAGTTCTTTAATGGAAAAATGATAAGAGATATTTTTTGTTGCATTTTGGGTAAATATTCTTAAGGTCTTATGAATGTAAGATAGTAAAATGTAAAATAAAATTTAGATAATATATTAATATAATGTATCCTATCGGAAATTCTCAAACATTTCGATAACGTCTATTACGTTATTTTCGTAAATTGGAATTGCAACAATCTCTAACTAGCCTATCTCTTATTTTTGTAGTTAATGACTGATTTTTACTTATTTTAAAATATCTTATTTTACTTTTTATAACTTAAGAAATTTTTAATGTAAGAGTTAACACTATGTTAATGTAGGAGATTACCTACTTTTGTACCAGTTTATCATCCCCCAATATCTTACATCGTATATCTTTACTTTCCACCTGCAACCAGTAGTTCACCCATAATGTGAACTACGTTGTCTTCCTTTCAATATTCCTAGGTACGAAATTTTTTTATTTGTATTAAATCGATAATTTATGGTTTCTATTATAATATGTATCAGGCAGTGGCGCATTTAAAATTGTTTTGTATGTACCTGATGATATAATATGTAAAACTGTAGAAAATGTATGACTTTTAACACTTAAGCCTCAGGGGTCTAATCCGTTAACATCACGATTCCCTTGTAAATTTGACACCGGTATGGTACCAGCGTACCTAATACGTAGTAGTTTACTTGACGTAATAGTATTTTAATTACACGAATATTTGTTTTAACACCTAAATTTTGTGTATTTATAAATGCATTATTTTCAAATCGTATATATTACAGTCTTTTAAAACATGTATAATCGAACTCCACGTAGAATCGTTTTTCGTTAGCAATGATTAATCGTTGCATATAGATAAACATTCAAATTCCCAGCTTCGCACCTACAACAGTGGCCCACCCAAATTGCGAAGTACGTCCGTTTGTTTTGTTTATACAAAGTATACAGAGTTGACATAAACATTTTTTCTTGAGTGGAAATTATCAATGTTAAGGTAGATACGCTTCAAGGGGAAAAAAATAGTTAACTTATATCGGGTTTTCCACGTCACTGTATTACTTAGTTATTCATTTTTTCTTGGTTTCCTAAAATACGGTCCACATATCCAGAAAATCGATGATCTTTAGTATGTCGCATATTTGAAAATCACATTAACATCGAATATGGGTCACTTTTTTATTAAATAATAAGTATCCATTAAAAAAAAAAAAAAAAATAATAATAATAATATATAAATGCGTGGGCCGTACCAACTTACCTGTATAAGACTTCAATACATAGGCAGTGGCGTCGGAGAAGGGAGGGCAGAGGTGATAATTGATCCTTCAGATATAATCCAAGGGGGGCAAAAGTATAATTTGCCCCCCCTCCTATCACATTAAAATTAAAGGGTATACAATAGTAAATCACGTTTAATTTATACGTTTACGTATTCGAAATTGGTCTTATTTTCATGAATGTGCGTAATAATAATATTACTATTATCATCATCGATTTATTATTCAAACATTAATGCGCGTAAACATATTGAGTAATTTTTATAGACATTTTCGGTCCGAGTGCATTTGCTTTAACAAATTATATCGGAAAAATTCCACCAATCGCGGATAGTGTTTTCACAGCATACCACATTGTTCCAATATCATTAAACTATTTATAGGTTATTACAGTTTACGATTAGGTTCCGAATGGCGATTACGACTACCAAATGAGTACGCTGTCGCGTAATACAGTTTAAATGTATAATTATTAATTTGTGACAGTTCACAGTAACATTGATATTATACATTCAATATTGTAATATTTACCAAGTTCGATTGTTTAAACGCGTTACACGTACCTGCAATGGCCGTTTCCAATCCCCCCAAAAAAATATCAAAGACTGTTTCAAACCGAGAACACCGGGGAAAATTCAGGAACTTACACCTAACGAGGTAAGTTTAATACATACTATCAAGTTTCAAATAAATTTGTTTTATTAGTTGTAGTTAAGGTTAATTACTACTAAGCTGGGCAGATGTCCAGTAAAATAAACTGTTATGAATATTAATATTAGTACTGTATCATTTGTCAATATAAATCAAACTGGTTTCGAGTTGACAAAACAATATTTTTGTCGAACGGATAATAAATTTTACTTTTTAGATATTAATTTTATATTTCCTACAAAAATATATTTCAACAACTTATGCTGTTAATGATTATTTGTAGACCGCAGTGCAAAATATGCTATAGGCAAGGCTGGGCAAGTTAACGATTTTTTTAACTCGTTAAGTTAAATTAAAAGTTACTCGTATTTTTTTTCTTAACTCTTTTAGTTAAAATTTTCCAATTTGCAAAAATAAAAAATTGCACATATAATATTAGTTTTTTTTACGCTTAAGAAAATTACTGGGGGAAATTTAAAATGATATATAAAAGTATTAACTGGCTATCAAAAAACCTACTTTTCTAAAATAAATCTTAATTCTGAATTCATACTCAAATCAATATACTCAAGTGGTTTACATCCAAAAATTTAAAAAAAAAAAACCACCATTGATAGTTTTCTCCTAACTGCTTAGATACCAATATTTTTAATTGATTCACACTGAATTTTAAAAATCAAACAGACAGTACCCACCACCCAAATATATTTTCTATACTGGGCAGACAAAGTGTAGCCACCGTGTAGTTTAAAAGACTAGGCTCAGCCCAATATGGAAAAAATTATCAGTAAAACCATAATTATTTGTATTATATTTTTAGATAAAAACAAAACAACAAATGTTAAACCTTTAATAAATAAATTAAAAAATTACATATTTTGTATAAGCTTTAAACCTTTCATACAAAAAATTTAAATACCTGTTATAGGATATAAATATAACTAACTATACATTTAAAATACATAAAAGTTGTCTTTTCAAAACTTATGAATTATTATGCAATTATTTAGAGTTTACCAATTTTGTACTTAAGCTGTTGCAAAACATTATAAATAATAAAATAGTCACGAGTCATGACTATAGCAGTTGTTATATAGCATTGTTGAAAGTCACTACATATCATTTAGGTAATATATAAATAAGATAATCGATAATCTCATAATAGATATTATCTATAAACATAAAATATATATATCCAATATTAATTACAAAGAAAAAACATAATTTATATTTTTATTGAAAATATTTGTTATATTTTAACAAAATAGACATTTCAAAATTTTGATCAGAAATGGATCCTCTCCTTTTCTCAAATAATTGACCCCCAGCACTGAACAATCTCTCTACAGGTGCAGATGATGGTATTTATGAACAGCTGTGTTCTAAATTTTATATAAGATTTTTTTAATTCAAGTGGTACCTTAATGTTAGTATTTGATAAATAATTTGTAACTAAAGTTTTAAAATCAGAATTAACTACTGAGAAATTGAAAAAATCATCTTCATCTTCACTGTTTGTTTCAAGATTTGAAGAACTTAGAGAAGAAAGATTTTTGTTTTGATAAAAATGAAAATGCACACGATCAATAACATATTGTTTTATGATGTTTCTGTCTTCGGGATTAGCCTAAATTAATTTAAACTTTGGTACCAATGCGGAAGAAACTTGTAGTGTTTTTGACTGCATGTAATTTTTAAACCTGAAAATATAAATTGGCGTACATATATCATTTTTTAATTGAATTCTAATGATTATTATAAAAATTAAAAAAAATCAATAAAAGTATCTTTTTGTTAATCCATATTTTAAAGCATGAACCAATGGTCTACAGAAATTTAAATTATTAAATTCATTGTTTATAGATGTAATTGTTGGTAATAGATATCCAATACACACATGTTGTAAAATATCTAGCCCTGTTGCAGCAATTGGTTTCATTACCTAAGATAACAAAATAATAAGTATCATACATCTCGTTGAAGAAAAATTTAATTTCCTTCTTAATTTCTTCTACTCAGAGTAGTGACAAATTAATAAGAAAAAACAATTTTTTTTTTTTAATACATTTTCTGTAAAACTATTATATTTATAACTATCATTCTTATAATTAATAATATATTACCTTGCAGTATTCAATTAAAAATAAAGACTCTTTGACCTGAGAAAGGAGTTAATTGAAATGCTGTGAATATTGTATCCATTTTATCTATTTGGTCAGCAATACATTTTATGGCATCGTAGAACAAATTCTATCGGAAAATTATAGCAACTTATTTTATTAATAATGAAATATTTTCAAGTCATAATACATGATATTCTATTTTAAAGTATTAAAATTTAAATAATATTAACTTGCCTGGCATTTGGTGTTATAAGTTATCTTTCCAGAATTTCTTTAATTTTATCAGCACACTGTGGTGTCAATTGATTCTGCTTATTGAAAATAGATTGACATTTAGCAAACACACGTCTAAGTACTTTAAATGAACCATCTTTTTCTGCTTTTAAAATATAAATAACTCTTGCAATTAAATTCAATTGTGCGCTGCACATTTTTGATGTTTCAGTAATTTTATATCTAACATATCATTTATATTTTGACCAATTTGACCATCAAGTATTTCAGTGATATTTACGGTTCTCAATATTTCACCATATTCAATTTCACGCATTTCAGTATTATAATCACTATCATCAATTTCATTATTAGCACCATACACTCTGAGATAAAAATAAATACATTTAAAATTGAACAACTTGTAATAATAATTGTAATTATAAAAATAAAATTAATAACTATTACAAAAAATAACAAGATATAAATATGTACAATTAGTATATATTATAAAAAGTAAAAACAAACTATGACCGTACACCAGCGTTTAGCGATTAATTAATTCTAATATTTTTTATACTGTTGAAAAAGATAAAATAAAATCTGATTATCAAAACTGTATGTATATTGTAAATTACAATTTTAAATAAAATTTAAAATGTTGGTGTATGATCATCATGAATTTGTTAAAATACATTATAAATCATAACATTCATAACTAATACAAATAGGCAATTCTAAAATATATATTATTTGAATGCTTTCACAAAATGTCCTGAGGTATCTGTGACAATTACAGTGGTTTTAAACTGTATATCAAATTCTGTAAGAACTTTTTCAATTATTTCTGCTGTAATTATCATATGTATGCCTCCCTAACATATGTCTACAAGCAAGTGCACGGGAATTACGTTCCAATGTAATTGGGTTCAGCCAATGAACTGTAAAACCCATATATGATCTACAATGAATTTATTTTGTAAATATAGGTTTAATATTATTAAATAACAATAAAAATTTTATTTTTTTTGATAATTTAAAAATAATATTTTACCTGTGGAAAATACTCCAACAATCTACAGTAATGCAAACATTCAATTTTTTCTAGTTCAGTCTTCAGTTGTTGAATCATATCTTTGAACAATGAGCTTACATTTCTCATCAAACTTCTTCTGGACATAGGAACTTTATTCGATGTTAAGTGAAAATATTTTATAAATGCAGGGTGTTCAATCAAAGAGAAAGGTGACACAGTATTTATAATGAGTTTTAGGTTAGACTTATCAAATTCTGTTTGACTAAGATTTTTCACAGTTTTTCCTATTTCCGAGAATTTCAACTGTTTTTTCGGTTGAGTAAAATTATTATTATTGTCTGGCTTATAAAGTAAAATGCATAAAAATGTATTGACTTATTTTTCAATACTTGATGCGAAATAACGTAATTTTTATCTATAAGTTTTATGTTTACTTTAAATAATATTGAAAAATTACAAAAATGCAATTTTTTTTTAAAACAGTTAATTAACTGGATTTAATTAAGAGGACGTCAACGTTTTTTTAACACGATTGATCAAAAAATAATTTTAATCATTAATTTTCAAGTTGTTTACAAAAGCTGTAAAATTGGCACTTTTACTATAATATAGTGATTTATTTTGATATTATTGAAAAAAATTAAATAATAACAGGCAACTGCACCTTAACATTAACCAAATATTTTTTCCTAAATTCACGAATAATTACAATTATAATTTTCCGATATGCATGTGGAACGATATATATATTATTATAAAGAAACTTACCTTGATGTGAGTTTTTAAATTTGAATTTGAACTTATAGAAGTTGATATAAATTTTATTTTTGGCATGCATAACATGCATTTGAATGTAAAATTAAATTTTTTTTCAGTTATATCTGATTCTGATAGTTGTTCGAAATAAGTTTTTAAATACACTTCAAATGGTCTTCAGACATTTTAGTTTTAAATAAATAAAATAGGTAATAAAGAAATAATAAACTTTCACGGAAATATAATAAGCTAACAACAATATATTATAAATTCTAACGAGTTGTGAACAGAACACATGCTAGTTGGATCTTGGATAATGAAACTAAATTGGAAATTATGCCATAGTTGTTTTGTGATTAGTCCCCCACCGACACTCGCTCTCATGGTATTCACTATTTTTACAGAATATTCTGTGGATTTCCATGGGCTTATACAATAACAATGTTATAAAAATAAAACGAACAGAGCCATGAATCACAATAATATAAAATTCTTGTAATCTTATTTACGTTAAGTACATACAAATAACAATAATATAAAATTATCTTCACTCTTTATTTTAATTGTATATAGTTTATCTGTATATACAAAGCTATTAACTCATATCTGTAGAAGTTTAAGAGAAATCTATATTATATATAAATTTAATTAAATGCCAAGCAAAAATATTGAATGGGTAACAAATTTATATTACGAAGGTTGACTTGACACATGATGGTATACTTATAATTATCATTTTATAACTTATTAGTTGTCTATATTATAGGCTTCACCAATAACATGTCAAAATAATTATTTATTAAATTCGGCATTTTAACTGTATTGTGACTTGTTCCAAATTCGGACTTGCCGATTATTGCATTTATTTAATAATGGAAAAACGTTCACGACAACAATTGACATCCGTTTCAAGTAACCCATCAAAGCGATAATCTTTATTACCTTTGAAAATATTAGTAATACAATTGATAATGATAAACGTGTAAACAGATATTATGTAGCCCATATTATGACTGTTAAAGTTATTTTTCATATTATTTTCGTCTACAGGAAATTCATATTAAAATAGTAAATTATAAGTATATTAAAAACCTCATTCAATAATTTGCATTATTCTTTGGACGAAAATTAACTTAATTTAGATACTTTTGAATAAAATTAACTTAAAGTTAACACATTAATCTTAAAAAAGTAACTTATTAAAGTTAAAAGTTAATTTGTAGAAAAAGTAACGAGTTAATTAAATTAACGTTTTAACTTAATTTTAACTTTTAACTCATTAATGCCCAGCCTTGGTTATAGGCATCAAACTGGATTTAATAAAGATAATTTAATATAATGATTACCTACCTGTATATAATATATTAATATTATGGTATGGACATATGTATTATGGTATTGTAATTGATGGTTAAATTTAATTTAAATAAAAGTGAATTACAACTTTTAAATATTTTTAAACCATATAATAATTAGGATTGTTATTTCATAGTTTCATAGTACTAACATTATTGAATTATCGCAAGATATTTATCATAAGTAGCTAGGTTACCTTATCAGGGCCGACTTGAAGACAGTGTAAGCTGTGTACGCGTACAGAGCCCCGCGCTTTTAAAGGCTCTGAATCTAGTCGTTATCATAGCTAGTTAGTAATTTCACATGATTACTTAGGATAATACAAATTAAAATGAATGAACTTAAAATAACTGTATTGTAAAAATGTATCTAAATTTGGTATAAGAAGATGAAAAAAGAAATAAAAAAATGTATAAAGGCCCCTAAATAATGACTGCATAGAGCCTCGACTTTTTCCAAGCCGGCTCTATTACCTCTATGATGGAATATGGCTATGAGAACGTGCTGTGGAAATTTTAATTTCCTTTTGTGCGTGTGAAAGTAACGAAAGCATTAAATATTATTATGTTTTCTATGTAAAATGATTAGTCTCAATAATCTGAAATCTGTAGAAATATATCTATATCATTATACATAATTAATTCTAGTAGTTTTAAACTTTAAGCGATAGTTTCATTTGGAAGTGGATAGCTTTTAAATACCTATCTAATGTTTTTAAAATTATTATAGGGAAATAAATATCTTTGTGCGTCTAATCTAAGTACTCGGAGTTTTTCATAAAAAAAGAAAAATAGGTTATAATAATAATAGGTACCGTCTATTATACCTGTAATTTATTTAAAATTATGAAAGCTTATAGTTTACGAGTATTTCATACAAAAATAAGTAAGTATGTATAACACAATAATAATGTATAGGTAGGTACTCAACAATCGTTTGTTGTCGATTTACTTTTATTAATTTTGATTTACTTACAGGGTTTTTTTTTCTTTTTTTGCTTAGTTTAGGCTATTTACGTAATTTTCTGCAATCATCGCTTTTCTCCGTCCTTTTCAATTAGCAGCTATACCTTCCCCATTGTTCACTCTTGGCATATTTGCAGTTTTCTGAGTTCCATTCGCCCATATCTGTATATAAATCGTGTTTATGACGCTTATTCAAACATCACTTACAAAAAGTTACGCATTTTAAAGGGAAGCCTCGATTTCTAATTGCGTATTAATTTTACTAGTTTAATTTCAACTTGAGGACATTTTTAATAAGCCAGTGTATTGACGTCTCTTTTTTTTAATTTCAAATAAACGTAGAAATATTCATATACCTAATCAATAATAACTATGCAATAAACTCACATAGAGAACAAAATTGGTTTAATTTGAATCATTTTATATTGTATCATAAAATGTATCTATAACAACTACGTATTATGACGTGTATGTATGTTCTATACATATTGTAAATATTTATGTGACTTTTATCCACGGTCGTTGCATAATATATGAACTTAATAAATAATTGTAGTACGATCAGTGTAATAATGTAATCGATAGTAAATTTTTAATGCATCCCCCTTCTCCTTAATGCCAGTCTACTTTATATAAATATTCTAATAAGGTATGTATTCAGGTAGGAATTATGTATGTACCGTGAGTCTAATCTATACACAGATAATTGTTGTCAGTCGCTTGGTGAAATGTTGGGACGACTTTCTTGGAGTTTTATTATTTTCATAGTATCCGCTAGTAGAAGGAAAATAAATATTGTTCGAAGAAAACTCATTGAAGATTACAATTATTATTTTTTAAATACGTTCATATTTTATTCCATCATTAAAAAAAGTCAAGTTAATAAAAATGTATAGTCGATGGCTATGGAATATAATGGTTTTTTATTTTTTTATTTTTATATTAAACCTCGGCGACTATGGCCATTGGCATAAAATATAATGGTTTATAATAACATAATATAGTAATTGTATCAATTTTCAGTTAAGAGAATTTATGCTCCAGTTGATGTTAATTTCCAGTTAAACTAGAAAAGTGATTTTATCATTACGCGGTTAACGTTTTGACTGACTTGACTTTAACCACAGAATGATTTATCCAAAATAGTTGATCAGTTAAAGAGTTTAACGAAAGATTCGGTTCAATATTATCACATTATATTGTCATGTGATTACATTAAGTTTGATTTTACATGATTGCGAATATTTCTTGTTTCGTCGTAGATAAATAAGTAATTATTTCAAAGTAAATATCTATCTATGTATTCAATTTTTAAAGTATCTATTTATTACCTAATTTATTATTATTGATTAAGCATTTAAATATACACAAAACTATTAAAATTATAAAATTTACAATCGATTTTCACTAGAGATATAATAACGGCTTGTATTTTATTATTATATTTTATTGCGTAATACATATTCATGTAAATAATAATAATTGTTAAAGAACGTTCTTCGAAATCAGCCTCATCCCCTCCATGACAAAATTGTTTGACCGCCAATATGCTGCTCAATATATTAAAATAGTTAATAATATTATGTATTATTTAATTTGGAAATATTATGGATATTATAATATTGTGAACTGAAAATCGTTTAATAAACCGTTTGAAAAAAATACCTACACTCAATTATTGTTATAGATATTTTTAATTGCGAGATTAATATATTTCATGTATAATTTTCAAACAATATAATATATTTTTAGAGTAATCGATACATAACTTTTTAAAATTTCGTGATAAAATTATCGCATTGCATAAACACAAACATAACAAAATAAAATCAATATCGAGATAATAAAAAAATAATTTGATATAAGTAGTGATAATGAATTATATTTGAAAAAGTCAAATATTTCAAACATTATCAATACCTATTCAAAGGATTTTTCTTTAACTATATGATATTGTTGTAATAGTATAAGGTCGAATAAAAAGAATTTCTATATTCACGCGAAATTTGCATCGTAGTTAATAAGTAGGTATTTTAACACGGTAAAAGCGGTAACGGTTTTTATAAT